TATTAAAAAAATATGTCACATAATGAGTAAACTAACATTGTCTAAAAGGCCTTTTTGTCTTAATTCTCCAGTACAGTATATGGTGCAGCCAGTTTATCAATTAACTGCAGACAAGAAAAATGCACCCTGCATTACAGTGTAATATAGCATGTGTATGTTCACACTCCATGCAGGGAAGACTTACACATTGCAATATAGCATAAATACTGTGTGATGTGGTGTTAATGCTTGGATACAGACACTGATGTAAATATACACAGTGCAACATGCATCGTGCAGGTTTACATGTTGTGCCATGACGTGCATATTAACCTGCAAAAGAGCAGAGTAAGGTGACAGACAGTAGTCTGATTGGCAAGGTAACATCAATACTGGCTTGAAACACAATCACCATGTGTATGCTGCGTAATAGGATGGCATCTGCTCAGAGACGGCTTGTAGTGATGATGAAGACAAAACAGACATACCAAGCCTAGGGCAAAGCCTTTCATGGTACAAAGTCTCATGTTGGACAAAAGACGACCCAATTTTAAGACATCTCTGTACCCCCCCCAAACACACACACACCCCTCACAATACACACACACCCCACAATATACACACAGACCCCACAATATACACACACACCCATACAAAATTATTGTTAAAATGACACTCATGTAGTTCTTCAGTCATACAAATCCAATTCCACCATGTATTAATGATAGTGTGGCAGGGTGTTTTGAGGATGTCAAATTGACTACTTTCTCACTCAACTTCAGAGTAATATGAGCTATCATCTACTGACTTTAACTGTAATCCATAAAAAGTTAATTTATCGAAAGGAAAACTTACGGATTTATCACGTCACCTGAGCCCACCCATAAAAAGTACCGTATTTGACATAATAAGCGCCCCGCTCTAATAAGCGCAGACGGCGATATTTGCTAATATGTTGGCTACTGAACAATCCAAATTAGCACCCCTTCTGATTGATCAATGTACACAAGACTTATCATACGCACTCATGTGTTATACACACCCTTAATCATGGGAAATTAAATTCTTGAAAAATATATGTCGTATATGAACATTTCAGGCTGTCAGCATAAACCATGAAATTTAATTTTCAACTCGTTTTTTTCCACCAAAATAATATTCTAATTTTGAGAGTGCCCTGGGCGCTTATTATGTCGAATACGGTAAGCCTTTTTAGTCCACATTGAACTTCAGAAGTCCTGCCTAACACGCCCAATGTGATGAGCTACATATGACGTCTTTACCATGAACTGACCGCAACTGCTACGTTGATATTGAGGATGAGGATGACTATCTCAACCTAGCACCGTCAAGTGGACATCTAATGTGCAGCTTGGAGTAAGCAGGTAAAGCATGTTAGGGATATGTCTGCAAGCGACATCAAGATCTCACCGCCAACTACAGCAGGTTGCAATCCCTTCGTATTGTAACATGTACTTTGTACAAACGTTCCATATTTACAAACATGAACACTCTAGTGAACAATTCATGAAAATTAACTTAACTACAGTATATATATATCACACTCACATTGTCTACAATACATCATTGACAGGAAACTCATGGATTTCAACATCAGTGTGATGCCCTCAGAACTGACAAACCATAATATATATACATGCATGTATATATATATATATACCACATCATCATAATTATACATATACTGTACATTACACCAGCTTCTTCAAGCATCAATACTGTCACTCCAGTCAGACAAGACTCACAAGTTCATGGCATGTTATTCCACTAAGTTGGTTCTGTTAAGCTATCAAGAAAATATCACTACCTTCTGGTTGCTAATGCTAAGTCAAAATCATTCATAAAATGTTTGTTTGTTTGTTTGTTGTTTAACGCCGCACTCAGCAATATTCCAGCTATATGACAGCGGTCTGTAAATAGGCGAGTATGAACCAGACAATCCAGTGATTGACATCAACCACTGATAATAAGTAAACTTGCTCTAAAACGTGTCATGTGTGGGACACAATCCATGATTTGTTTATTTCTTTGTTGTTTAACGCCACATTCAGCAATATTGCAGCTATATGACGGCGGTGACACGTCCACGGCGTTTACCCTTAATTGTAATGATAAAAATTTGGAAAACTTTAACACCCATTCCAACCTGCTGTTTCTCATGACTACCAGTTGATAAATAGATGGTATACCATTATGATGAGGCTATATCACGCAGTTCTATACTTAACATATTTATTGGTCTGGGTGTTTAAAAATTCTCAGAGAACATAAAAAGTAAAAACATATATATCTATTAACCACAAGCAAAGCTGATAAATAAAAACAGTTGATTCTTCGGAAATGAGCTTAAAATGTGCAACCAGGTGACCTGTTATGTTTGTTTGATATCAAATGTGTATTAAAGCACAAAAATAGAACAATGTAATGTAATTATGCCACAGTGTCTTCCTGAATCAGGAGGGGCTTATAAGCTAGGCACTCTTGTTCTTGAATGGTATTACATAACAGTACCAATTTCAAAGTCAAGAAATGATCTTGTCAATGTCTGGAGTTATTAAATTATTACCCTTTCATTGATGAAGCATAACAAATTTCACAAGTCTTCCTGAAACATGTTTTGTTTTTCTTAAATGAATTCAGATTTTTTTTAACAAACGAGCTTTTACTGTATTTCATTTCACAAAAAGGAATTGGCCTCAACTCAACCATGACAACATTTTAAAAACTTCATAAGCCCGCCTTCACTGAAAAAGCAAATCAGTCAGACAAACACATCATAATCATAGTTGTTGGAATTGTGTTATTTCTTCTAAGCTGGGACGAGTCCAAATTTACTACCCGGGTACCCGCCACCCTATTACCCGACCCTACCGGGGTATCCACTGTAGATATTTAGAGATAGGTACAAACTGTCCGATTTGGAAAAGTTTGACCTTAGCCCTGGCAAAATGTATTTAGATACACGTGTAAAACAATCTGGTCATGCATACACTGAAGTTTACTGCATGAAGTTTTAGCTTTATTCAAACATATAAAAGTCAGAAGGAATGGGTGCATTGTCAGAAAGAAATGGGAACATTAGTGACTTATAGTGTAACCATGGAGTTTTAGATAATTTTTGTCATCAAACAATATATCACGTGACTAACCTGGGGTCCAGGTAGTCCTGTGGGTACCAGGTCCCCACTCAGGACCCACCTGGCCCGAGCACCCGAGTTACCCATCCCATCCTTAATTTCTTCTCATAAGCCATGTATGAGGTATTTTTACTCAAAATAGTAACTTATTTTTAAGAGGGAAAGACCAATGAAAGAATGCAGTGATTCCGATGTATACAATTACAATAAATTTGGTGGTCCATGGCCCTTTTGAATGTGCATTTTAACAAGTAAAACTGACACAGCTACAGGTCAATATGCAAAACTAAAGAGAAATTATACATCAACCATAACATTTAAATCACTCAAATCTGTTGATTCGGGAAAAGAAGAATCAACGGTCCGTAAATGAGCTCATTGATTCTAGTTCTGAAATCAACAGAAACAAGGCTTTCTCCATTGCATACCATACTTGGTATGGATGCTGTAGTGTCTTTTGTTACCGTTAGTGAGTGAGTTGGGTTTAACGCCGCTTTTAACAGTATTCCAGTTATATCACAGCGTGTCAGCTTAATGTGGGAGGAAAGCCCGAAGTGATGCAGGTCTCAGACGTTTACCACTTCGGTGAAACACACGAGCACGGCTATGGTGCTAACAAACCTAGAAACATAATCAGGGCGAACCGGGATTCGAACCCACAATCATAGGTTTCTGGCGTGCCCAAGGGACGCAACTCTGCACAGCGAATCGCGGCGCCTTAGACGACTGGGCCGCCCGTGCCCCCTAACGTTAGTGGGATATCTTGGGACAGAAAGATCTTTTTTCCCCTTTAAGTAGAAGTATACTGTCCAGCAAGGTTGTTCGACTGATGATGAAGGCCTTAAGTATAAAAAATAATTGTTTCATAGCCTAAGGTTTGGATGGAGAATGACAGCAGTGAAATAGCCGGGGGAATCTCTGTAGAGAAAGCAACACCCTCGTGTCAGGTAGGGCTGGCTAAAAAGATCAATAATCAAAAGAAATATTAACAATTATCAGCATAAAAATTGTGTTATCAATAATATCTTGCATAAATTAGTGATAAAATAAAGTTTAAATTTACCATAAAAGACTTGATTTTGTCAATCATAGCAATTGCCAAAGACGGAAAGCAACTGTTTTTGTTATATCTTAAATGTCCACAAAGTAATCCATGCATAAATGTGTCACAATTCATGAGTGACGTGAAATATGTAGATTTCTTTCAGGCTTTTTTGCATATTTGTTCAAAGTTACTTCTCCGATATGTATTGATAGTGGATCGCTATTTTATTAACAATTATCAATTTCTATGATCTATATCAATAGCCAGCCCTAGCATCAGGATTTCTCGTTCTTATCACTGGCAAAAGATCCATGAGTAACTTGCAATGATATCATTTGAAGGCATTCTAAATCGATGGTGACGAAGGACATTGATCATATGGCTGAATCAGACTATCTCCTGGAGTTCTTTCAAGCTCTAACACTACCACAAACACAGCTGTGTGAGGCATTCAGACACCACTGATACTGACATAAATATTGATTCTCTTGCCGGTAGAATCGCCCCATAACCTGTGCCTCAGAGACTGAGCGATCCTCTAGATTTCTCTTATTACATCAGTGCCCCTCAATACCTGCCCCACGTCAATCTTTGCATAAGAACCTGTATCTTATATTTCTTTTCTCCTTAAAACATAGTTCTAAAAGAAAGTCAAGGAACCTCATAATTACTAAAGTTAATCTGTCATGGCATGGCATACGATTCTTTCATATTACTATAGTTAATCTGTCATGGCATGACAGATTAACTGGAGCAACATGCAAGAATGAGGCAGGTGACTTTGTTCGAAATGTGCCTCTGTTCACCCAGCAGTGAATGGGTACCCGGTAGGATTAGATGTGGTTGGTTAACCTTCTAGCGCCTAAAAGGGAGCTGAGAATGATTCTTGAGTGTACACTAATCCAGTGACTGGGGTAATAATAGCGCTTTGAGCATGCCCCTTAGTGATGTGGAAATAAGCGCAATATAAATAGCCTATTATTATTATTATTAACTTTATAGAAAAGTATACATAACATCGGTAATCGAAGGTTATCAATGTTATTAAAATAATTTGTCTACTTTAAAATAGCTTTCATAAGTAAGCAAGAAGTGTATGATCTGCATCTCGGAACTAAAACCGTAAGACTCCTAATTACAGTATCAGCATACATTTCAAAGATCAAAAACTATAGCCACTTGATGCAATAAGCTCCACTAGTTTAACCATCTGGTGAGATGTGCTGGAACTCGTGAATCCCGCTCAACTCCTAGATGGGCGTCGGTGACTTGGGCATGATCTGACCTCCAGCGAGTACTGGATGGTGGAGGGGTAGTGGCAATTACAATACTGCTTCGGACTCTGTGATCAGTACAGCAATGGATTGACTAGCTCTTCAGTGTTTGGTTTTAAAATCATCACAACTTGTGATCAGTGTGTCACTAGATTGTGGTAATGTAGAACTTGAATGTATGCTTCTGGAGACAGAAGTACGAGTCGTGCATCAAGGCTCTTGTCCTGGTAGTGTGGTAGAATCTCCATGCATTAACACAGATCAGTGCTTGGCGTCTCTATGTCTTGGTAGTGTTGAACCTGCGATGTGTGCTGCCAGAGACTCGAACTTGCTCACGTAATCCATACTGTTCTCGTTCATCATCACCTGAAGTGTTGTGTCCACCTGGAACAACCAACATATCAATCAATGTCAGTGAGTGGGAGGGCGAGTGGAATGGCAATCTCATAAAAATCAGATCTTTTACTCCGATCATACCTTAATCCATCAAATCTGAGTACATCTCCATAGAAGGTCACGAAAAATGAACCCTCAGCAAACTTTGACCTTCAACAATGGATACATGGGTTCTTGACCCAATCAGATGCCAGCTTTCTAAAACGATTCGGCTACATTTCCTTAACATCTCAATTTGAAAATTGTGAATTTATAAAAATTAAAACCCACGTAGAACACAAATATTCCCTCGATGGTGATACCTTTTGAGTGTAGATGCAATAAAAGAGGAGAAACAGCCGACTGAATAGAACATACACAACAATATAGGCTCTCTTGTTCGGCAGTCGGAAGTCCCCAGCTATATTCAGAAATCAGATATACTTGTCCGAATGTTTTGCTCACTTTTACTGAAAATTTAGAAGCCTCAAAGCTGATTGGCTTATCAGACACGGCACAACATGATTGAGTTTGGTTTTACGCCACTTTTAGCAATACTCCAGAAATATCACGGCAGGGGGACACCAGAGATGGGCTTCACACAATGTACCCATGTCGGGGATCGAACCCAGGTCTTCAGCATGACGAGCGAACACTTTAAGCACAAGGCTACCCGACCGCCCAAGGTACAACATGACGCAACATCCTTTGGTAGTATCCTCATTTCTTCATGCATGGAGGTAGAGCATGGGAGAAAAAGATCTGACTTCAATGATATTATACTTAACTTTTTCCCATACCATCTAAAGTCACATTACATGAGTGAGTGTGTGAAGAGGGTTGAACACCGCTTTGAACAGTATTCCAGTCATATCACGGCGTGTCAGCTTAATGTGGGAGGAAAGCCTGAAATGATGCAGGCCTTGGACACTTACCGCTTCAGTGAACCAACAACCATGGGTATGGTGCTGACAAACAGAAACACAATCAGGGCAAATCGGGAATTGAACCCACAATCATAGGTTTCTGGTGTGCCCAAGGGACACAACTCTGCACAGCAAATTGCCGCACCTTAGACGACTGGCCCCCCCTGACCCCCCAGACCCCCCCACATAACATGAATTTTTTTTATCAAAAGCCAGGCTTCATGTCCAAAGCGACAGGTAGGTCACTAGGTCAGTGCTCCTACATGACAAAGGGTGAAGGCCAATGCAGCCTTAGAAATTTGCTGGTATTTCTTAAAACCTTATTTCAGTTGTCCTGAAGAGTCTGTAACTTGTCCTGCTTGAACAAGACAAAAATGATTTCTTTACTTAAAGTTTTTGTCAATTTTATTCAGTTCTAATATGTAGCAAAATTGAAACATTGAGAACTGGTTCACACTCATCGAACTCAAATGCTACTAGTCAATGAGGACGACCATCACTGAACTTTTACTTGACAATTTAGAAGTCTGGGGCTAGCAGGTGAGTGGACAAGTGTCTACATGGGACTAGAGTCCATGTGACCCACAAGCTATGTTGCCAGACACTGAGTGGAACTGAGCTCTAAATCCATGCCAAGCTTCTCATGTCGATTCTTTAAATCTGACTTTATCAAAGCTGTGGCACATCACTGGGTCTAACTGCGTCACGACAGATTTTTACACAAATGTAATTGTGGTTTCCAAGCATGAGAGGAAGTCACGAACACAACTCACATCTAGCTTCGATACGATGGACTCCTGCGAGTTCTCACTGAAAATGGATGAGGGGAAATGAGCAGCGATGGAAGTTGGTGGCTGCGATGTTTGTGAGTCGGACTTCTTGGCTGGGGATATGAGGAAGCTGGTCAGTGACATGTCAGCTACCTGGAAAATAGAACAATACATCTCTAGTACTATCTCCCAGGAATATCTATAAGTGGCATTTGTGAAGCTGCAGAATCAATGAAGACAGAGCTCCTGGATTCATCCCTGCATCATTTAACACCCTGTTTGTTGGTTGTGTTATTTAATCTGTGTATATGTAATCTTCACTATATAACAATGTTATCCCAGTTGTATTCAGTTAGGAGATAAACACCTTTTACAATCTAGAGCTTGCTTGAGTTTCAATACCGAACTAGGTTTCCTGTAGATGTTACCATACTAAATTGAATTTGGAACTGGGAATCTGTGAGAGGTGTGATCAGTCAACTACTGTCATCCACACCAGCCACACCCCCACCCAAGTGGCTGGGACTGTGAGGGGGTGTGATCAGTCAACTACACTTATCCACCGACCCCCAAGCAGGACTAGATACATACCTCCCCATTATGCCAGTGTGTGTCTGCCCCTGGCCCCAAGTGGCTGGGACTGTGAGGGGTGTGATCAGTCAACTACTCTCATCCACACCAGCCACACCCCCACCCAAGTGGCTGGGACTGTGAGGGGGTGTGATCAGTCAACTACACTTATCCATCGACCCCCAAGCAGGACTAGATACATACCTCCCAATTATGCCACTGTGTGTCTGCCCCTGGCCCCAAGTGGCTGGGACTGTGAGGGGTGTGATCAGTCACTACTCTCATCCACCGACCCCCAAGCAGGACTAGATACCTACCTCCCCATTGAGCCACTGTGTGTCTGCCCCTGGCCCCAAGTGGCTGGGACTGTGAGGGGTGTGATCAGTCAACTACACTCATCCATCGACCCCCAAGCAGGACTAGATACATACCTCCCAATTATGCCACTGTGTGTCTGCCCCTGGCCCCAAGTGGCTGGGACTGTGAGGGGTGTGATCAGTCAACTACACTCATCCATCGACCCCCAAGCAGGACTAGATACATACCTCCCAATTATGCCACTGTGTGTCTGCCCCTGGCCCCAAGTGGCTGGGACTGTGAGGGGTGTGATCAGTCAACTACACTCATCCATCGACCCCCAAGCAGGACTAGATACATACCTCCCAATTATGCCACTGTGTGTCTGCCCCTGGCCCCAAGTGGCTGGGACTGTGAGGGGTGTGATCAGTCAACTACACTCATCCATCGACCCCCAAGCAGGACTAGATACAAACCTCCCCATTGAGCCACTGTGTGTCTGCCCCTGGCCCCAAGTGGCTGGGACTGTGAGGGGTGTGATCAGTCAACTACACTCATCCATCGACCCCCAAGCAGGACTAGATACAAACCTCCCCATTGAGCCACTGTGTGTCTGCCCCTGGCCCCAAGTGGCTGGGACTGTGAGGGGTTGGATCAGTCAACTACACTCATCCATCGACCCCCAAGCAGGACTAGATACATACCTCCCAATTATGCCACTGTGTGTCTGCCCCTGGCCCCAAGTGGCTGGGACTGTGAGGGGTGTGATCAGTCAACTACACTCATCCATCGACCCCCAAGCAGGACTAGATACATACCTCCCAATTATGCCACTGTGTGTCTGCCCCTGGCCCCAAGTGGCTGGGACTGTGAGGGGTGTGATCAGTCAACTACACTCATCCATCGACCCCCAAGCAGGACTAGATACATACCTCCCAATTATGCCACTGTGTGTCTGCCCCTGGCCCCAAGTGGCTGGGACTGTGAGGGGTGTGATCAGTCAACTACACTCATCCATTGACCCCCAAGCAGGACTAGATACAAACCTCCCCATTGAGCCACTGTGTGTCTGCCCCTGGCCCCAAGTGGCTGGGACTGTGAGGGGTTGGATCAGTCAACTACACTCATCCATCGACCCCCAAGCAGGACTAGATACAAACCTCCCCATTGAGCCACTGTGTGTCTGCCCCTGGCCCCAAGTGGCTGGGACTGTGAGGGGTTGGATCAGTCAACTACACTCATCCATCGACCCCCAAGCAGGACTAGATACATACCTCCCCATTGAGCCACTGTGTGTCTGCCCCTGGCCCCAAATGGCTGGGACTGTGAGGGGGTGTGATCAGTCGACTGCTCTCGTCGACTGAGCGGAACACTGGAGCATCCCCTCCTCCACACTTGGGTGAGGCTGAGTCCAGGAGGGCTAAAACAAAGATGGAACAAACATTAGTTTCAGAACAAACTAAAAAATGGTAGATAGTCACAACTTGTTTCAAATGAACCACCACATCCTAGCTAGACTTGCATTAGGGTCAAGCAAAAACAGAGATGCTTAACTTGACCAAAAGTATGACGCTATTTTTGAGAGGCTAAGTTTTGTTTCTTTGTTTGTTTGGTGTTTAACACCACATCCAGCAATATTCCAGCTATGTGACAGAGATCTGTAGTGAGTGAGTGAGTGAGTTGGGTTTAACGCCGCTTTTAACAGTATTCGGGTTATATCACGGTGTGTCAGCTTAATGTGGGAGGAAAGGACAGAGGTCTGTAAATAATCTAGTCTGGAACAGAAAATCCAGTGATTGACATCATGAGCATCAATCCATGCAATTGGGACATGATGACATGCATCAACCAAGTCAGCGAGCCTGACCACCCGATCCCGTTAGTCACCTCTTACGACAAGCATAGTCGCCTTTCACGGCAAGCATGGGTTGCTGAAGACCTATTCTACCCCGGATCTTCACGGGTTGAGAGGGTGAATGATCGATTAGATCGATTGGGACAACACAGATAAATGCAATGGCCAAATGGCTGCAATAAAAATGGGGGAGATATGGCAATCTGTAATGGGAAAAAAGATACAGATAATGGCCATCAATTGTTTGGATGTTTGCGAGTATATTCAGGAATACCAAACTTAACCCCCCTTGTTCATAAAATTGACTTGTCCAACACTGCCAAGATCAGATTGTAATGATGGAGGCATCATTATTTAAATACGAGTACATCTGTTTGAATCTTGTAAATGTTATTAACATCCTTACAAGAGGCTGTAAGTAATGTTGATATCTCATACAGGAAATAAATGACACATGTTCATTGTTTATTTCTTAAACAAAAAATAAGGAAATACCTGTGAAGCTGGAGTTTGAGTTCACCAGTGCCATGTCCAACAGCTTGTCAGCCATCACATTACCTGCAACATCACATATACATCTCAAGCAGTGTCCATGGAGTTCAGGGTATATCCTTAGTCATCAAACTCAGACATCCTATTCTGAATAACTTGGTAAACAGTAAAGTTGGTTGGTTGGTTGGTTTGTTGTTCAACGCCGCAGTCAGCAATATTCCAGCTATATGATGGCGGTCTGTAAATAATCGAGTCTGGACCAGACAATCCAGTGATTAATATCATGAGCATCGATCCACGCAATGTGGATCAATGACATGAATCAACCAAGTCAGCGAGCCTGACCACCCGATCCCGTTAGTCGCCTTTTACCACAAGCATAGTCACCTTTTACGGCAAGTATGGGTTGCTGAAGACCTATTCTACCCCGGAATCTTCACGGGTCCTAAACAGTAAAGTAACGCCTTGACTTGTCACTACACTAATTTTCCCACAAATGTTTCACAGAAATCACCATAAAAACATGTTTCTTAAAACAAAAATAAAAGTTATCTGTATTTCAACTTCAACCCCCTACCATTGATATTTCACGAGGGGTGACCTGGAAGTGAAGAGAGGCAGTATCACTGGGGCGGTCTACTCACCTGGAGGGGGGCAGGAGAGGGACATGTCCAGGAGGGAGGACAGGTTGGGAGGGGAGATGCTGAGGTCACTGCCGCCGACCCTCTTGACAGCCATCTGACTGGAGGTGGAGCATGCTGGTACAGCCGAACCTGCAGATGTACCGAGCAGCAGCCCAGGCTACAACACAACACATAATATGTACAGGCAGGTCAGAACATAGCAGCTGTACCTAATACATCAGCTGTACCTAACACAGCTGTACCTAACACAGCTGTACCTAAAATCACAGCTGTACCTAACACATCAGCTGTACCTAACATAACAGCTGTACCTAACACATCAGCTGTACCTAACATATCAGCTGTACCTAACACATCAGCTGTACCTAACATATCAGCTGTACCTAACATATCAGCTGTACCCTACTATCATATCAGGTCCATTTCGACCTAAAACATCATTCCCATGTCTACCAAACATATCTTTCCACATCTACCTAAGATATCGGTCCACATATCAGTTCCTTGTCTACCCATCATATCGTTCAACAACTACTCAACATATTGCTCAACATCTTCCTGGACATATCCGTTTCACGTCCAGCTACTTGGAAAGCTGCCTAACTTAATACTGAAACACAAACCATCTTCATGAAACAACCCGGGTGTTCAGTTTCTCCCTGAAAGCAACATCACGATGTGGTCACCTACCGTAGTGGCTGTGATGTCAGTGTTGACAGAGAGAGGGACATTCAGAGGCTGACCAGTCGACATCACAGGGGACTGGCCTGTTCCTGGGAGGAGAGGAGGGAAACCATTCACTAAACGTTCATCAATCATAATTCACCATTCTACATTCTTCAAACAAAACAGGACATTTTACTTTTCTCTCCTAATGCACCACACAATAGAAGACTGGCAATAATATACAATTTGCCATCAAATGAGACAGATTTCTTTTTTATCTGTGTCTTTAATGTAATTGAAAAAACATTACACTCATGAAAAGACATAAAGGGTTGAAGAGATTTGGGGTCATTGTCAAAAAGGATTGTTTTAAAAAAAACCGGAGTACTTCTGATGAACATTAGAAACAAATACTCGATTATTTAGGAAACAGATCTAACAACTTGGGGCCTCAGTCCCACAATGATAAATATATCATCAGACAAATCTATTTTGGGGGATTAAAGTGGAGCGAGGTCATATTTTCCAAAATCCGATTTATTTTCACAACAAAAATCAAAGTATAGGTTCAAGATAACGCTAGTCATCTTTATACTGAAAGGTATTCTTCAAGATGTCTGTCAATGATTGAAGCATGTCAGTACACTCCTCTGACACCAATACATAGTGCTGATGAGTAGACGAGTACACACCCAGAGTTAGTGTTTGTGTTTTGTTTCCCTGGCTGGCTGCACACATTGCTTGAGATAGGAGAGGGGAGTTGTCATCGATGCCTACAAGTTGGTACAAAATACCATTAGCGTATGACCATGTTAGATCGAAAATATCAATATGAACAGTTTCAGGTTTCCTAAAATGATCAGTTTCTTGGAATAACATGATCAGTTTCTTGGTATAGTGTCATCAGTTTCTGGATAATAGCATAATCAGTTTCCCATGTGGGATACAAAATATCAATATCATCATTGTCAGATTTCAAAAAAAAAATTATCAGTTTCTTGGAATAACATAACCAGTTTCTTGGTAGTGTCATTAGTTTCTGGAATATAGCATAATCAATTTCTTGCCATAACATATCAACTTCTTGGTTAAAATTATCAGTTTCCTGGAAGAACATTATCAATTTCTTGGTATAATGTGATCAGTTTCTTGGCACAGCATTCTAGGAATAATCGTGTGACAGTGACACGCAAACAGCCAAGTAACCAAGTCAGACCCCCATTCCATATCATTCACTGCCTTCAACAGAGCTGGGGCATATTCTAGTCCAGGAGTCTGCTTGGAATCATAGCGCTAACTCCCATACTTTAACATACACTTGCGACAGTCGTAGCTTGAAGATTGCTCTGTGAAAGTGGCCTCTGGTCCCCATGTGTTTATATTACCAGGGCCCCGATTCAAAAAGGAACTGTAGCGCTACGACTTTCATAATACCTTTACTTTAACATAGACTTCTGACAGTCGTAGCTCTACAATCGCTATGTTAAGGGAATCAATCTTATGCCCCCATTTTGCTACGACCACGAATATCCTGAATCACCATGTTCAAAGATAAATCTCAATCATTTCTTGAAGTTCTTAGATGAATCTTATTTGATTCTCAAACATTCGTACAGTTCGCTGGAGTTCGTCGAATCAGCGAAAAAAATGTTTGTTTGCCAAATTCTTTCGTGGAAGGGTCCCCGAATTGCAATTTCGTGGCTGTATTGTAATCCATTCGTAATTAATTCTTATGTTCCGTAACAGCTTCGTAATTGATTCTTTTGCATTGTTGGCTATTCTTATTGATTCGTGGCTCCTAAAATTTCTTGTCCTCAACCCGAAAACATGCTGAAACAGCCACGAATCTCCTGTGTTAACTACAAATCATGTAAGAATTAAGTAAGAACAACACGATTTCCCAAGGACCAGGACCAGAGCAACACATGCTCTCCGTTGAACCTCCATGGTGGAAATGATTGGTTGGCCAGCTTTTCGGGACCCAAGAACATGCCGAAGTGTCAGGAACAGTACCGCTTTTCGTAAACTACTTGTAAATATGTCGTATTAGTCGTATCTTATTTGTTGCTATTGTCCTGCATTCATACATGCATTCAGCATATTCGTTACTTAGTCGTAGGTGATTCTTACAATTCGTACATGATCTGTACCAGTGTGTACATGAATCTTGTAATTCATACATGTTTCTTTACCCATTCCTGACACTCTTCATATTTTTCAACCCGATTAGCCACGAGTTTTCGTAATTCTGTCGTACGTTTGTCCTAACCTCCTACCGATTCTCCACGAAAGTTTACATTATTGGCCGAATCATCACAAATTTCGAAGGTGTCCGATTCGGGATGATTCGGGATATTCGTGGTCGTAGTGAAATCTTTCTCTCTATCCCAAAACAACATGATCTTGCTTTTTCATAAATAAGAAATCAAGGTAAGTTTACCTGCACCAAGAGGGGTGACGTTCTGACTAGTAATCACTTGTGTTTCCATCGGCCGATTGGTATCATTAATCGGTGAATTCAGACTAACTGGTGAAAATGTCTGTGGTGTTAACGACTGTGGACTTCGACTCAATGCTTGAGGGCTGATTATATTTGTTGTTAGTTGAGTCGGATTTGAAGGCAGTATTGTCACAATCTGTCCGCTTGGAGCTTTGGGTAACAAAGTTCTTTGCACTATTAACGGCTTTTGCCGAACCATTTTCCTCCTCTTGTGCATCAAAAAATTAGATTGCTGAAATAGAAATGCATGAACAGTAAATAATAATAGATCTTTAAATATTCAAAGTATTCTTACAAATACCGTATTCGACGTAATAAGCGCCCTGCTCTAATAAGCGCCCACGTCGATATTGGCTAATATATTGGCTAGTGAACAATCCCAATTAGCACCCCTTCCGATTGCTCAATGTACACAAGACTTACTTATTCACGTATAATACACACTCGTTTGTTATATGCACCCATAATTATGGGCTATTAAATCCTTGAAAAATATATGTCGTACATAAACATTTCAGGCTGTCAGCATAAATCACAAAATTTATCTTTCAACTCTGTTTTTTCACCAAAATAATATTCTAATAAGAGCACCCTATTTCTAATTTTGAGAGCGCCCTGGGCACTTATTACGTCGAATACGGTACAATGAATACCCTCAAATATACAAAGCATCCTAAGACCTAGCCTCCCACTGCCACTGTTTCAATGTCCTTTATAAATGTTATGGTTGATATAAAGCATTCTGCAACGGTCCCTATACTGCTGTAGCCTCAAAACGTTCATGTACTAGACAAGTCAAATACAAGAAGTGTGGTGATGTTACTCCATGGCTGAAAGCTACACCTATCGCCAAGGTTAATTACGTCAAATGAGAGGTCTTAGGATCTATTTGACGTGTCCTTTATCTTACTTGAATCTTTTTTTAATAAGAAGTCATGCATTTAGTAAAGTTTTAATATACAAAATGTGTCCTAAAGATGTCAATAGCCCCTTGGCTTCTTACAAAGAAAGTTATCTTCAAGGCTAAAGAAATTCTCAAATCTATTATTTCCATAAATCAAAGTCTTCTCTTTTCAGTTTGAGGTTTGTAACTTGTGTGAAAATTTCAATTTTCCGTCCTAAAACATCATGCAGGGCTTGAATTGTGGGATTTATCCAGTATACCAAAGAAAGTTATTTTTGTTCAAATTGGGCAGTGAAATACACATGACTTCTACAAACCCATAACAATTGTTCTGATTATATAACAAGAATTGGGAAATCTGGAATTCCAACTTTGGAAATTTGACTAGTATTAGGGTCAAATATCGGCCTCTGAGCAGGTCTAGGTAAATACCTCCCCGGACTCAGTACCGACCTTTTGTTGCAGGGACTGTATCATCTGGTTGACCCCGGCTTGAGGGTAGCGGACGAGGGGGACCCCCACCGGCACGCGGAACACGCCATCACCAGAGTTGGGTATTAACTGAAATGTAGCGATTCATATGATCAAACCGACATGCAAGCAACATCTAGTGTGAGAAAGCTTTTAGTCTACCAGCCCGAACTTGGCATTATTTTCGTCAATTTTAGTCTTATAGTTTAGTTTAGGGACCAGCATAAGTTGATATTACTAGACAAGACGTTTATTACTAGACATGGCTTCTGTCTAGTGTTCAATTGCAGGCTGAGAGAGTGATAAGAACCATATGGACTGTCAGCAATATCTCAGTTACAACACAGGCAAACATGGCACATCATGTCCTACCCATACATAAGGTTCATGTCCTTGGCCTCTATCAGAAACCGCTCGTGGAAAACACATCATCAATGTTACATTCACAAAAAGAGCCATGGTAACCATTACTGTATTCTAGAAAGCAATGAAATCAAACTGAGCTTTCCTTCGAATTATCATAAAGGTCGTTCTGTTGTGTGAAATGAGAGATTTTATGATCTATTTGACGTGCCCTTTACCGAATCGTTTTTAAATAAGAAGTCATGCATTTAGTATTGATCGACTGATTGTTGCTTAACATCACATTCATCAATATTCCATCAACATGACGGAGGTCAGTAAATGATAGAGTCTGGACCAGACAACCCAGTGATTGACACCATCAGTATCAATCTATGCAATTGAGATATGATGACATGGATTAGACCTGACCACCCAACCTATTAGACCCAGATCTTTACAGGTTGTGAAGCTATTACTATCGTAAAGTTAACATATTAACCAGCACAAAAGTCAAAGGTCTTTGTCATAACCCCAATGTCAAACATTAAATGGGGTCCATATATTCAAATACAGTAGCAGCAAACTTTAAGGACCAGAGGACACCCTTAACAGACACATAAGCACCTTAGGTTTGTTTGTTTATTTGTTTGTTGTTTAACGCCGCACTCAGCAATATTCCAGCTATATGATGGTGGTCTGTAAATAATCAAGTCTGGACCAGACAATCCAGTGAGTGACATCATGAGCATTGATCCACGCAATTGGCATACGATGACATGCATCAACCATCTCAGCAAGCCTGACCACCTGATCCCATCAGTTGCCTCTTACGACAAGCATAGTCGCCTTTTATGGTAAGCATGGGTTGCTGAAGACCTATTCTACCCATGTCTAACCCGGATCCTCACGGGTCCATAGGCACCTTAGGGCTTACCGGTTTAGACATCACTATCTGTTGTGTTGGATGCTTGATATGGGTCCCCAACATTTCAGCCTTCACTGCCACATCCTGACCCTCAGAGTCCGCACAACTCATGTCCCCTCTCACCATGCTGCACCTATCACTTCCTCCTCTGTTATCGTCTTGAAACTGGTCGTCCTTTCCTAATTTGGACTTAGCGTTCCGCGACTTCTCCTTCTTCGACCTCTCCGCCACGGCACCACACACAGAACACAGCACACTCTTCCTGGCCACAGAATCGGTGTTCTGAAAGTTGCAGAAAGCCATTTTTGTTATATATGCTGAATTCATCAAGTTTCCAATTTCTACATATTCAGCTAATCCAGTATGCTATTAGTGTCAATATCAACAAACCCAGTAAACAACTTCTAATTATTCCCCAAATCCAGTAGGTCATTTGTCAAATATTCTGTCATCTGAAAAAAGGTACAATATTAGCATGTAAAGTTTCCTCAATATGCGGCTTTTTTCTATTGGACAATGAGAGGTCGTTGTTAAGTATATGAACAAGACATTTTGATGTTCCTACATTTTTCATGAGATGGTATTCCACATTTCTGGGGGCAAGCCCTGGCCTGGGAATTCCCTAGCATGAATAAATACAGAAGCATTGTTTGCATTCATTTAGACCCTTTAATCATGAACTTAGCGTTTCAGCATGTATGTCATCTTCCCGAGGCAAGTGAGTTAACTGACTATAAAAGTCAGGTGCAATCTGATTGGTCCATAGGAAAGGCTTAGAAGGGACATAATTGATAATAGCCACTGGTGGCGCAATGAGCCCAGTAATTCCAGCCTAGTTCGGCAAGGGTGGAAACTGGACTTTTAAAGTCAGTTAACTCCCTTGCCTCGGGAAGATGGAATTATTACTTTGATACGAAATTCAGGCCAATACCTATCATTATAAGTAAGTGTGCCACTTATGTAACGTAAAATGTAATTTCATAAATCCATTTTTTATGTGTTCACCAAAGAATTTAAGAATTATTACCAAAAGGTTGCAATCGTATTATATTAAACATAATATCAAACATAATATTGACATTGCATAATATTTAACAATGCTTAATCACTTTTCTATTTACATTTATTGGACAGTAAAACAGGAATAGAATTTGAGAGGTAAAGTAAGTCATGGGTGTGATAACCTGATGTAGGAAATACTGAATTTCAATTTCAGTGGTGTGTGTTTTTGTAGTTGTTCAACATAACAGAAGTAGCATAGTGGATTATTTGCCCGCATAACATGACAATACTACTGACTTGAGAAAATCCTAAATAAATATTCTCTCTTCTTTACACATTTTTCCCAGTTTGCCCGTCATTGGCTGTTAAGTTTGAAATTCAGTATATATATATATCTGAATCATGAAATATGATACAATTTCATTTGTCATTCAACTTTGTTTATCATACAAGACTAGCTTTGACAGAATATGTCACTTGGGTGAGATCAAGCAATATCTAATAAGAGATATCGCTGCAATGTGATTGGATCACAATGCTTTGCAGACCATTGTAACCATGACATCACTAATCTGTAATTCTTACAATCAAAACACTGGTTATTACTGTTTACAAACTGAAAAAGTTGGAAGGAATATCTTGCACAATAAATAGAGTGAGTGAGTGTGTTGGGTTTAACGCCACTTTTAACAGTATTACAGTTATATCACGGCGTGTCAGCTTAATGTCGGAGGAAAGACCGAAGTGATGCAGGTCTCAGATGTTTACCACTTCGGTGAAACCCACAAGCACGGGTATGATGCTGACAAACCTAGAAACATAATCGGGGCGAATCGGGATTCGAACCCACGATCATAGGTGTCTGGCGTGCCCAAGGGACACAACTCGCGACGCCTTAGACGACTGGGCCACCCATGCCCCCCACAATAAATAGAATCGTAACCTTGTTTCTTTTGACATCAAATATATTAACACTCATCAAAAAAGTTAAAAACTCCCAGGCAAGTCACAACAGGCCAAAACATATTTCAACACATATATCAACACTGATTAATTTGATACCAAAAGTCACAAGGGTGAGATTCTCCATGTATATATCGAATGGAGCAACTATTTCAAACACGAATGCATCTACAGGTCTGAAGGCCCAAGAAATACACAACAGCCACCCAATGGAACAGACTTACCGGCTTAACTCTCGAAGGATCCCTGAACTCAACGGTAGCAATGTGTGCCAAGCGTCGCAGCATGTTGGTGAGAGTGGAAGTGAAATGTGTGTTTCCCTTGGTCTTGGTGTCACACCAGTCGTACTCCAGTTTCACCGTCTCCTCCTGTCCACACATCAGGTACAGCTGAGCCAGGGTGATGGTCCGACCACTCTCAACAGTCCATCCCATTTTGGCCACAGCCACCATCTCCTTCAAGCCATCTTCACTGTCCTGACTGTCAACACTTTCCTGCCCAGCATCACTGTTCTTGCATGTGGCGTGATTGGCATTGTCATTGCCCCCTCCCTCCACGTGTTTCTGCACCCCGTCGGTCCGGTGTTCTGTGTGGACAGACATGGAGGGTCCGGAGAGGGACAGTTTACTTGATGGCAATGGGTCAAAGTCATAGAACAGAGGTTTGTCTGGAAATACTGCATTGTCATCCCCGATCAGCAGGCTGATCTCAGGGGTGGAGCTAACTGGATGGGTGGGGTCCTCCTTGGCTTCTACTGGTTTAGATTCACATGCGACTTTGGCAACTTTTGGTGGTGTGCTGGATGCAACTTCAGCCTCAGAGGAGTTGTCGCTGTTCGGCTTCACAGTTTCTTCCACGGAGATGGATTTCTTGGAGGTTCTGCTGCCTGATGTGCTGGGGGAACCTGAGATGAAACAGTATCAACAACATAAGTCTTCATGTCACTCTAAGGTAGATTAGGTCCCCAGTACCCCATGATCTTTGTAAGTATTATACACGAATACATGTATTTGTTCTGACTCTGGCATAAACATCCATTCAATCAATAAGAACGGCTTAGGGGATCACTGACGCTAATTAACTCACCCATAAGGTTTTCTTTATAGCTGGCAAAGGTGACATCTACTTTAGGCGCAGTGTAGGGAGTGACGTGGACAGGCTTGAGAGCGACGTCTGCTGGTGGAAACACTGTCAGCATCTTCATCTGCACCTCCTCCGCACTGCTCACAGCCTCTTTCTGATCACAGTCAAGGTCAATGACATTGTTTCTAATCAAATCAACTAAGTATGTCAGACTTTGTGTTGCTCTGAATCACATCACTATTTGGATACAAGATAATATACCCAAGATACAAACAAGGAGTAGGAAAGTGTTGTCTTATTCTGTGGTTCAAGTTTGACGATCTAGCTCTATCAATGAAAGACTACTCCAAAATTAGAGAAACACAATGTCTAAATAACATGAGGCAATAGCTGGAGTGAGTTAGTATGGTTTACCGCTTTTAGCAATATTCCAGCAGTATATCACAGTGGGCGACATCAGAAATGGGCTTCACACATTGTACCCATGTCGGGAATCGAACCCGGTTCTTCGGCGTGACAAGGAAACACTATAACCACTAGGCTACCCGACCGCGCGGCAATAGCTGGAACTAGCTAGAACTAATTGCAATGTCTTAGATATATTCATAACTTCTATAAGTAATTATAATGTCAAAATGTAACTGCAATGCAGTTTCTTGACAAAATTGCAAAGTCTAGATATAATTGTTGTGTCTAGAATTAATACTGAACTGTAAAGTCTTAAAAGTAAACACAGTGTCTTGCAGTAATTGCAGAATCAAGGCTTAACTGCAACGTCCAGACACAATGTCTCGAAGTAATTGCATTGTCCAGACGTAACCATAGCATCTAATCCAGTGGAGCTAAGAATTACGTTACGACAAAAAGAATGTCCCAGGCACAGTCTACATGGAAACACCAGCCCTGCTGTGATCTGACTCTGACAGCCCTGTTTTCTACCTTATGGATATTATGGCACTCTTCAGTGTTCAACATGAAACAAAACTGTCAGAACCCACGTTTGTTTATTTGTTGTTTAACACCCATCTTCCCGAGGCAAGTGAGTTAACTGACCATAACTTGCCCCTTCATCATGTGACTATCAGGTAGTCCTGAAGTGACTATAAATGAATTAAAAAGTCATCATTTTCAAACATTTAAGACGTACCTAGATTCAAATACTAAAGTAGCAAATCATTAACCCTAAAACAAAACTCAAATGACCCTCCAATAATGAGCAATACCAGTCCTTTGGTGCCTAAGTGTGGACACCTCGCCCACTTTACACACGGCACCCCATAGGTATTCCCATCAATCCTTAGCCCTACACAAGCTATGAAACAATGTAAGAGTTAGTGAGTGAGTTAGGTTTAACGCTGCTTTTCACAGTATTACAGTTATATCACGGCATGTCAGCTTATTGTTGGAGAAAAGCCCGAAGTGATGCAGGTCTCAGACGTTTACCACTTCGGTGAAACCCACGAGCACGAGTATGGTGCTGACAAACCTAGAAATATATTCAGGGTGAACCGTGATTCGAACCCACAATCACAGGTTTCTGGCGTGCCCAAGGGATGCGACTCTGCACAGCGAATTGCAGCGCCTGAGACGACTGGGCCACCTCTGCCCCTAACAACATAAGACTTCTACAAAATGCCAGCTCCCTGACCCTTAAGTTTCTGACAGCATGACCCCACATTCACACATTATGGGTGTGTCTACCAATCCACAGTCACATCAATCTAAAGCTAAGCTGTGAAAGGATACAAGTTTTACTCTGTGCTCCTTCCACTTGCGTGTGAGATAGCCAACTATGGATGCGACGCTCCGATCCCCCGCCAGCTTGAAGCGGACCCTGGGGTTCTGGGCTACGGACTGGACGTGTGACCATGCTTCATTCGTCCTTGGAACCAGCTCCACAGTGATCTTATCTGGAACTGGCTGTAGTAATGGCTCTTCTCTGGGCTCTGTAGGAAAATGAAATATTTCTCTTGTATTAACCACAAATCAACATACAGAGAAACCCTGTTTCGTCAAACTCAAACATGCAAGATTTTATTTTCTCAGCAGAATCCTTATTGTCACTTATGTCTTATAACAGTACCCTTATGATGACTTGGGCTTGCCACTTAAGTAGTAAGTTTAATGCTTGCATCACTTTGGGCTTTCCTCCAATAATCAAGCTGACACTGTTTTGACAGGGATTTATTCAGACCAACTTAGAGGCCAATATTTGGCCCCATGTCTGCAGCAATTGTCAGAACAAAATTCCGAAATTGAAATCACAAATTTCCGACTGCCTGCTGTTGAAACTAGTGTGATGATGGCTTGGTCAAAGTGTCTTGTATTTCACTGATAACAGGACCACGATGACATGCAACCATGCCTCTTATGACAAGCATAGGTTGCTGGGGAACTACATTCTTACTCAGAATATTCACAGATCAGACTTAAAAGCATCTTATAAAATATCATAGCTAAAATGGATAGATGTTATCAGAAATGAGCAGGCCACTGTAACTTGATAATGCCCTCATATTGCCTTACGACGGGCCATTGTAATGCCGATGGTTAGGTGAAGTCATAGGGATTGGTGACATCACGTTCAATAGTGACGTCATCTGGTTTGTTCTCTAATGTTTCCATATTTGTAAAAGAGGGTCAGTGACATTCTTGTCGATTGCAGTAAATGTTTCCAAACCGATATTGTTGTTTCTTTTGATCTGAAAACAAATTCCATCCATTTTGAGCTATAACGGTAACGCTATTTTTTAGGGCATTATCATTTGCAGAAGTCCTTGGTCTTTTCAACCGCGCTCCTTCGTCGGGCGGTTAATGGAAGACCTCGAGCTTCTGCAAATGATAATACCCTGATAAATAGCGTTACCCTTATACCAGGGTACTCCTGAAATCAACTAATCTCATGAATACAAAAAACATATGTACATACCTTCAAAGGTATTCAATTTTTTCAAGGCATTACATGCTGGCGTCCGAATCCTATGAAACAGAGAAACAGCAACATAAAAAACTATGTATCACTTATGGGATGTTATATTGTTCATCCATATTTAGAGGAAAATATAAAAGGCATCAAACTATAAAATGTTAGCCTTGTGTTTAGATCAAAAGAAAACTTACTTTTTGTTCTTCCCTTTGATCCTAACATTTGTCACACTGAAAACAAAAAAATGACTCATATACATATGACAAATCATGACAGAATTCATTGAAACTAACAGACTCAATCACATGAGGAAGTAATAAAACAGATATATGCCAGATAATCAAAGCAGAGTTACCTCCCTTGTGATTTACTAAGTCACAGCAACTTGTCAAATCATGTTTGTAACCCCAAAAATAGAATAACAAAAAATTCATAATTGTTGTTTTCTCTTTTCATTATCATTATGAGTAAAAAAAACGTTCATAATATTTACAAACTAAGATTCATGAATGTGGAAAATAATCAAACCAAACTAGACTAATAAACAAAACATGTCACATATATATTAAACACAAAAAAACACAGGATTTTACACAATAAAATACTGGAATTTGTCATTTCAAAACAATTGAATTAGTATTTCAGTGCCATATTTCCAAAATGGAATAAATTAATCATTACAAATCACAATATCTCAGAGTTATCTCCCCTAAAAAGGAAATGCCCAGTCATCAATATTAATACTGATCATATTCACTAACAATAGCTAATTGAACACCAACACAACCGAAAAAAACCTACAAAGAATGCGTCCCCACCCACATGATGACAAAGCTGAGTACTATCACAGATCTATACTCCGAGCTGTTAATAGCTGACTTTATCCATCATCAAACATGACCACCCCATTGATCAACATTCCAATGTCGACCTACCTGAAACAGGCAAAAGGACGAGCTTCAGCCTCATCTACACACTCCACAAACATTTCCCTACAGTACAAGTGATCCATGGACACAGACCCTTCAATATACCTATCACTTGGTGAGTAGAAATCTATCTCTTACTCCTCTGTCAAACGTATGCCTGTGACAGACAGACAGCAACACCTCAATTATCAACCTCTCTCTCTCTAATGACATAAGTTCTATGTTTAGATTCTATAAACCTTCAGGGGTAAATATACCCCTACCCTACCAATGGATAAAAAAATAGGATAATGTGAATCAAAGAATTTCTCGGAAGAAATAAAAAACAAGCTATCTTCAAATCATGAACAAAATGATCCCCTTGTATCAATAGCAAACAATATAGGGAATGCATTTATTAATTGCTATAACATAAAAATTTCTTTATAAATAAATTGTGGATCATTCAGCCAACATCAAATTCTTTATCAGGCAGGGGGAGATAATCAGACATCTTGAACTATAATTCCTCTTATATTTGTACAGAGGACAGTAACAGTAACAAAGGTATTTCAGTTATATCTGGTTCCAAATATTAAAGAACTTAACTTACATCCTATATTCTGGACTAAACATACATATCTTCTGTCAATAATACCGACTGTAGAGCCATGACAACCATGAGTGTCATGCAAGTTAATTTTCTGAAACAAGAGTTGTGTCCCTTGGACCACACACTCCTAGTCACCAGTGGTGAAATCCCTTCATGACAACAACCGAATAACTTAACTCAAGTCTGACAGTGATGATAACCAAATTAAATTATTACCATCTCTGGCAGTGTACTCACCCTTTGTGTATAAGCTCATAAAGCTTTAGAGCTGTCTTCTCATTTAAACCTGTAATACAAGTTACACAATGCTTCACTGAATGGCTTCAAAATAGAATATTGAAATTCACTATGCCACATGAATCCTAATTCAAAGATTATGTTCATTTCACAAAAAACAAGAGTTTGCCACGTGGCTATATCCCCCGCCCCTGTTGCAGAATTTATGGTATAATTAAATCTAAACAAACCCTAAACTTTTTTAACCAAGGTGGAACTTGTCATGGAAATTGTAAAAAAAGAAGACTTTGGAACCTAAGTCCATTTTGTTGCCATGGAAATGTAAAAATAAAAATTCCTAAAATTTCTAAAAACAGCAAAAGGCACCAGTTCAGCATGTACCTTACAGACCTGAAAATTTCATGAAAAAATATTGAACGGTTTAAGAGTTATGCTCTGGAAACGAACCCTACCCTCACAGAACCTAAGTCAATCTTGTTGCCATGGAAACGTAAAAAATAAAAATTTCTAAATTTTCCAAATAGCAACAGACACCTGAGACACCAACTTTGTTGGACGGGGGATAATAAAAGATGACATGATTATCAAATATCAAAATGTTCATCATGTTTAGTGATTAACAAACTCACTGATGAAAATGGTGTGAAGTTCACCACTATCTCATCTGGCCAACCTGGCCACAGATTTTCAAGCCCAATGTATGTTGTAGGAGGACCACGAGGGGTACGTGGGGTTTTATGCCCCATCTCGTGGTATAAAACCAAACAAGGGACGCATAAAAACCCCATGTACCCCGAGTGATCCTGCTGCAACAAATTTATCTAACCCACATGTTTTAATATGACATTGTAAAAACATTCAAATCAATTCCACACTGATATAAAACAGCTGCTCCATTGAGCTGAAGTAAGCTTGTGCAAAGTCAATTGACAACAATTTGCTTGGAAAAAGCATCAGCTTTTTCTTTGAAGCGGGGTATAAAGGATTTACTCTTTCTCTCAGAAATGCACGTGCAGACTGTAGTGCTCGTGGCACGGTATAAAAGATTTATTCCCCAGCTGCGAAATTTATTACCTCCAGGGCGGGTTACACAGTATTTTATCCGTGATCACATGGACCAATCAGATCTCATCATTCTGACATGGAGGTATGATAATGCCATTTCTACTGCTGATAGGCCACATGACCACAAGCATATTTGAAATAATTTCTTGACAGAGGAATTCCAATCTTATTTATTCATTGTCTCCACATAAATTAGCTGGGATCAATTTCATTGAATTCATATCATTAAGACATTTACTCTGATAAGATATCTCTCCTCATGAAGACCGGACTACACTGCCATAGAAAGGTTTGGGAAAACTATGATCGACCTTTGACTTGCCAAATCTGAATGAAGGAGGAGTGGGTTCTTCAACCAATCAGATTGTCAGCTTTCTCAAACAGTTTGGATTGATTTCTTCGGCAGTTCAATTCGTAAATTCTGATGTAAACCCACAGAAAAACAAATATTCCTTCAATGAAACTTCTATTAAGATAAAGATGTTCAGAAACGAAAGTGTGCATAAAATATCCACAAGACCTTATTATGTGTCATCTGATCTTCAAGCTGAGACCTATTGTATTCTAATCAAAGATATGATTTTTAATGAGATTGGTGCAGATTTTGATGTTTAAACAGTTGTAAAATGGCAGCAATCCCCAACTGAGTGTTGTCTGAAAACTACCGTATTCGACGTAATAAGCGCCCTGCTCTATTTTTAAATAAACACCCGTGGCGATATTTGCTAATATATTGGCTAGTGAACAATCCCATTTGGCACCCTTCCAATTGATTAATGTACACAAGACTTATTTATTTGTGTATAATACACACTCGTGTGTTATATGCACCCTTAATTACGGGCAATTAAATTCTCGAAAAAGATATTTGTCGTGTACAAACAAAACGCACAGACTTTTCTTTTGTATCATTTCAGTCTGTCAGCATAAACCACAACATTTACGATCTTTCAACTCTTTCACCAAAATTATATTCTAATAAGAGACCCCTATTTCTAATTATGAGATCGCCCTAGGCGCTTATTACGTCAAATACGGTATTGGCAGTCTGTCCACTAGCCTGAACCTGGCCTTCAGCATATATTTCTACCATTTCAGTGTAATCGTATGGACTACTGTTAGCTGATGTTACTAGACTGAACAGAATTTTACTAAACATGGGCTTCCGACTAGTGGCTGTTGTTTAGCGCAAGACTCAGTAATATTCCAGGCATATGAGAGTGGCCTGTAATTTATTTGAGGCTGGACCAGACAATCCAGTGATTAATAGTATGAGCAATTCACACTGTCTGGGTACGTTGGCATGCCATCAACCAATCACTGAGCCTGACTACCTGATCCCTAGAGTCGCCTGTTACGGCTCACATAGGTTGCTGGGGGCCAGTTCTAACCCTGTATCCCAAACCCCTTCACACGATGTGGATACACTTCGTGAAGTGGTGATACATCTAGCCAGGTCACAGCAGAGTGCTCCTGACTTGCTATGAAACAATGTAAGAGTTAGTGAGTGAGTGAGTTGGGTTTAACGCCGCTTTTAACAGTATTCCAGTTATATCACGGCGTGTCAGCTTAATGTTGGAGGAAAGCCCGAAGTGATGCAGGTCTCAGACGTTTACCACTTTGGTGAAACCCTCCAGCACGGGTATGGTGCTGACAAACCTAGAAACATATTGGGGCGAACCGGGATTCAAACCGACAACCATAGGTTCACAGCGAATCGCGGCGCCTTAGACGACTGGGCCACCCGTGCCCCCCAAAGCCATTGGAAGAATTTCTAGTTGAAAGTTTAAGAACTGTGACATGCAACATGTGCAAAAATATCATTACATCATATTGAGTATGTTAAGGTGAGTGAAGATATGCTGCAAATATTGCATGGCCATACCAGTTTATCAAAGTTAAACGCATGGTTTACTTACGGCTTTTAATTGTTTCTCTAAGAATGCCATAGTTGATGAGGGCATACAACTCTTGAGTATCTTTCTTCACATCTGCAATACACAATAGTTCAAACATGAGTGAGTGGGTGAACAGTATTTCAGTCATATCGCAGTGTGTCTGCTAAATGTAGGAGGCAAACCTGACATCACAAGGTCATAGATATCAACTAATAAGGTGACACCTATGAGCACAGGTATGGTGCGGACAAACCAAGCATCCTAAACAAGGTGAATCTGATTTTTATACCCAAGATCATAGGATTCTGGAATGGCAAGGGATGCAACTCTGCACAGCGAACCAAGCTCCCAGTCAAACATGATCATGATGACGTTCAATCATTTATCTCAGGGACATGTTTTTCAACAATGTAACATATACTACTCAAAAGAAGTTAAAGAACACCAGGTTATTAATCTGTCATGGCGTAATATGTTCTTAAACTTCTTTTGAGTAGTCTATCATTGGTTAATTGTGCACACACTTCTTGTCAGGAGTGACATCTTCCCGAGGCAAGGGAGTTAACTGAGTATAAAAGTCCAGTTTCCACCCTTGCCGAACGTGGCTGGTATTATGATGTTACATTTTGGCTGGACTAACGAGTCTATGCATAGTCCAATCAAAATTGTGCAACAAAATCGAAATCCGGTTCGTAAACTGTCGTGCAGATTTCGGTCAATTGCAGAATTTGCAAAGCATGTGCACCGCCAACTCGTTGTCAACAGATATTTTCAAAATCTTTTGAGTGTTAATCAAGGTGCTCACGTGATTTGATGCATTTCGCGATGCAAGACCTGTTCTATCACAATTATCGATTATTGATCAGATCGTCTTGACTGGGAGCAACTGTTTTGTTTGAAGCAAATGCAAGTGATACGAGAGGTGGAATCTGATTGGTTCATAGGAGAGGCTCAGAAGTGACATAACTCGTAACAGCCACTGGTGGCGCTACGATCGAGCCCAGGAATTCCAGCCTGGTTCGGCAAGGGTGGAAACTGGACCTTAAAGTCAGTTAACTCTCTTGCCTCGGGAAGATGGATGAGTGAGTGAGTGAGTCAGCAGCATTTCAGTAGCCTGTAAATAAATGGGGTCCTGAACACCTATTCTACCACACAGGAAAGGGTGACACTGCATTGCATCAAAATACAGTCAAGTCTCGTTAATTCGACACTCATTAATTCGACAATCAGTTTTATCCGACACTAATGATTGGAACCGATTAAATGAGTGTCATTTAGACCTGTTAATCCGACAGTGTACCACTCCGACTCTGACGCACCTAATTTGAAACGAATTACTGAAATCACTCATTAAACAGTCTCGTTAATCCGACACAGTGATCAGCATACTCCGTGGTCATCTGCCTGCAAGTGCACAGCCCATGTTTTGATGCGAAACGAATCGGCTGGTAGCTGCATATTACAACAGCTGCAGAGAAAAACTTGCTTAACAATAAACAATTAATGCTTTAAATAAAGAAAACAGGATAAATCACATCCTTAGATTACCTCAATCTTATTAAAATCAGATAAAAGTTCTCGCTATCGACGAGGACATCCCATTACAGGTCACGTCAGAACAACCTTATGCGAACTATGACCTACCAATGAAATGACCAACAGGAAGTCGACGTTTGCCACTTAGAAAGCAGCTTTCTTAAGTTTCGGGTACCAGTTTCAAAGTTGCGACTTCCAGACTATGCTTTTTAAAGTATTTTGAATAAGTCATACAGTCCGTAACAGTTGTTTTGTGTTAAACTTTAGAGGTTGTATGATTAGAAAACAGATTCCACCAACAGTGTAACATAACAATATGAATATCTATTTTATATTTTTTATTACGTGTTTGAATCCTTGTCTATCATGTAGTTGTCCCATTTTCGATCACAAACATTGATACTACTTAATTTCGTTTATCCGACATGCTCGTTAATACGACATAATTATATGCAACCATCGATGTCGGATTAACAGGACTTGACTGTAGTTGAAAAGTCATCTCTTCATCCATAAGGCTTAAAAACAACAGTCTTGGTTCTCAGGCACTGCCACATCATCATAAAGTCTGCCGCATATTTCATTTTTACTTCCATTGAATAAAAAAAATAATTCCAATGCTTCAAAAAAATGTGATCCAATATAGCACAGGGTTACTGTGGACATACCATTTGTGGTCTGAATGAACTTGTTGATCTTATGGCATGTACGATAGTAGAAAAATCGAACTTGATTCTTGTTCTTGATGAGAGATGGGTGGACACCCCGCTTCTTGCATCGCTGGGCAAGTACACACTGGATGGCATCGAAGTCCTTGCCATGCTGAAGGAGAAGGTCAACTAAGGTTATTACATGCTCCTCTTTGTTTTGTTTGTTTGATGCTGAACGCCGCACTCAGCAATATTCCAGCTATATGACAGCATTCTGTAAATAACTGAGTCTGGACCAGACAAGCCAGTGAGTGACATCATGAGCATCGATCCACGCAATTGGGATACGATGACATGCATCAACCAAGTCAGCAAGCCTGACCACCCGATCCCATTAGTCGCCTTTCTGAAGACCTATTCTACCCCTCATCTTCATGGGTCAGATGCTCCTATAAATGCTGGGATAAACTTGTTTAAGTATGAACTAACCATATTTTATAATTTTCACAAAAAGAATAGCGATCTTTAACATTTTGATGACAATAATCGGAATGGAAACGGAAATATATCCAAGTTTTGTGTTAAGTCCTAAACAATTCACCAATTCCTAAACAATTATTTAACAAGCAGTTTTAACAGCTTAGCCTTCATCAGAGATACAGTTAAGCTCATATCCACTGAGCAAGGTCATCAGCCTTTTGTTTGGCCATTCAGTGCTTCTATTTATTACCCCTAATGCAACAGTTGTGTTTCCATCATGCGCACTTGGTTCAAAGGTGGTTGTGCGTAGCTAAAACGGACAACTATCGAATCCAAATGAAACAAAGAAACTGTAGAGGTTTGGGTTTGGTTCGGTTTGTTATTTAATGACGCATTCAACAATATTCCAGCTACATCATGGCAGTCTGTAAATAATCAAGTCTGGACTAGACAATCCAGTGATTGACGTCATGAACATCGATCCACGCAATAGGGATACGATGACATAGTTACATCAATAAAGTCGGCGAGCCTGACCACCTGATTCAGTTAGTCACCCCTTACACCTTCTACAGGCAAGCATGGGTTGCTGAAGACCTATTCTACCACTGATCTTCACGGGTAGGTACACAGGACTGAGTTAGGTACCTCAAACAAGGCATCAAAGAACGTCTTGATGTCTTCTTCCATCCATTGTTCCCACTGGCGTTTTGTCTTGGCTTCGGGGGTACTCAACTTGGACTGAACTGCAAGACAGAAACACAACTGATGATATTCCACCATATCACTGCAGCCTGGATATACTGGAGGCTGAACTAGACAAACCAGTAGTCCATCTTGGGATACAGAGGCATACAATCAAATTATCAAACAAGCCTGGCCTCATCACCCCATTTAATCAGCTGTAACAATAGCAATAGAGTCCAGGGCCCACTTGCACAAAGCGATCTTAGTGCTAAGATTATTGTAACTCCCATTCTTTAACATAGGCTCAGGATAGTCTTAACGCTAAGATCGCTTTGTGCAAGTGGGTCCAGGGCCCATTTGCACAAAGCAATCTTTGCACTACGACTATTATAAGTCCATGTTAAAGCATGGGAGTTACGATAATCTTAGCGCTAAGATTGCTTTGTGCAAGTGGTCCCTGGGGACATTTCTGAGTCAGGATCCTCTTGCATAAAGGATCTTAGCGCTACGACAATAATAACTTCCATACTGTAAGACTTAAGATAGTTGTAGCGCTTAGACTGCTTTGTGCAGATGGACCCAGCTGCAGGTCACGAGGGGGTCATCACAGGGTTCATCTACCTGTTCAGAGTGATAGTGTCACAATGCCCAGAGACTGATGCATGAAGAGTTGTGCGGCAACATCAGTCTGCATCAATTTTATTTCTTTGTTTGCCTGTTGTTTAACTCCACACTCAGCAACATTCCAGCTGTATCATGCTATATGACGGCGGCATGTAAATAATTGACAATCCAGTGATTGACATCATGAGCATCGATCCTCTGCATATGGGATATGACATAAATCAAGCAAGGCCTGACCAACCGATCATGTTAGTCGCCTCTTACGACAAGCATAATTGCCTCTTACGACAAGACTGGGTTGCTGAAGACCTATTCTAACCCGGATCTTTACTGGTGCTACGTAAAATAGATTGCAATGAGGTCTTTAATTTTCCACCTTAAAATATCATTTTGTTAGTGAGGCAGGTGAAAAGAAAGATTATTTGCAAGTTCCCTTGATCAAAGTTAACGCTTGCCCATCAGTCAAATTTTTAAAAAGCTGTGAAATTATTTGCTGTGTAAGAAATTAAGTCCTGCCACACAACTCATATCTAACTTTAAAATTAGGACTCTGGCAAGGATCCCTTGAACGTCATGCTTAATTTCAAACTGGTGACTCATCATAATTAATGCTTAAATAACACTCATCACAAGTGTATTATCATTGATTCTGCGGGCTAAATTCAGATCTTCATAGAAAATAAACAAAAAACTGACATCATCCTATATATGCAAAATCAATAGCAAGGTACCTAGAGTACGAAAAAGGCATGCCTAATCTCCTTAATGATCTTTATGTTGACACTGACTCTCCATTAAGGTAATTAGCTGACGTTAGTCATTCCTGTGAGTAAATATACCTGGCAAAGCCACACTTGATTGGCTTACATATCAAACCCAGCAAGTGGCTAGGACCTATTCTTCCACTTGCCATGATTGCCCAGCTATTGATTTTTGTCCATCTACAGAAGTCTTCATTTGAGATCATAGCAGTAGCATTCTTTTTCACTGGGCAAATTTTAAATCAGGGATATTTGATGTAGAAAACTGATTTTGATCTATTAAGTTAACTATTTCTGCCACAGAAAATAGTAACAGTAATAGAATTCCCATACTGCTTGTCATGTTGTATTATTTCTCGTAATTAGATATCTTCAGAATAAGATATCTTCAGAATAAGATGTCTTGCAAACATTTACTGATTTTGTTTGAAACCAATCTCATTAAAAAAAGATCTTAGCTCTACTGCTGCTAAACAAAGACCTGAGGACATCATGCAACCTCGAAAACTTAACACGGGGTATTCCGAATGATAGTTACGGGGTAAACGACTGAAACCATACAATCTAGACCATCTATTAGCCATTCCAGATTGTTCTTTTGTCCAGGTTTCAAATTTTTAATTGAGAATTTGTCAAACCATGTTTCGAAGTGTAGTTGCCCATTTGAAATTAGTGCCGTAAAGCACGAGAAAGCTGCTTTCTAAATGGCTAATGTCGACTTCTTGTCAGTCATTCCATTGTTCGGTCAAGGTTCGCGCAAGGTCGGTCTGACATGACCCGTAATGGGGTGTTCTCAGATCGTTGTTTAGCTGCAGCGAGAACTAAGATCTGATTTTAATGACAGACACAACAAACTGTTTTATTTGGTCCAGTCCATTCGCTATATTTATGTTGTAAATATGCTTTTAACAAACTACACTTATAACAAACTAAAATTAGTGGTTCCTTTGAGTTTGTTACAACTGCAGATTACTGGACATCGTTATAACTTAGTTTACTATATTTGATGGGTTTTTATATATGCCCAAATATGCCATTGTTGACATTTCTATGCATGTGCAAACATAACACCGATGAACAATATCTTTATTGTAGAATTTCTTCAACCATCTGCAATTCACGGGAATAGTTGTTAGTAGGTAGGAAAGCGTTTCAAAGGCCTGGTCACTTTAAGTATCTATGTTCATTCAGAAACATTTTCAGAAACAGTGCCACAAAAAATGTTTCAAAGAAGATAATGATGACACAGCCGTAGCATCCAATGTATGTGTGTAGATATCTATAAGGAGACAGATTAAACTGACTTATTTTGCCACATCAAACTTGTTAAATTAAATCAATTTTAATGTCTCCAAGGGACAATGATCTATGTCTATTCGTACATGGCAAATGGGCCTAATTTGATTATATAATGTCGGTCTTAGATCTATGAGTAATTAATATACAATGCAAAGCAAAATGGATGCGTGTGACTACCTCGTTTTGTCGAACAAAGTGTCCACAAATGTCTCTCGTTTTCATCTGATTCAGTTCTGCCTTGTGTATAAAGGTGTTAAAGTGAATGACATCTTGTGATTGTTCATAAATGAAAAATGTAATTCCAGGGTGACTGAGGTCACAGCTATCCAATCAAAACAAATAAAATGAGGTCAACCGTGTACAACACACCTGAGACAGACAAATTTAGTATCTCCCCATTTGTATCTTCATGTGGGTTACAAAATTCAGTGTGTATCTTTTGGGAGTTGAAGCTAAATCAGTTACTCAAAATGATTATTGCTGTTTCACTTATTGAGAGGAGTATAAACTCTGAAAATATAAACCAAAAAGATCAGTCATCTCAAACTCACATTTCTACTTCTAAGATAATAAACATATGTAAACACAATATTGTTAAAAATATAAACAAAATATACAAACCAGATGAAACCTTCTTGACAGGTGACCACTGCGGGCTTATATCCCGCCTCGTCTTCTTCACGACACGTGTACTTGACCGCTTCGCCGTGGTCACCTGGGGGGCAGTCACCTGGGGTGCGGCCCCCTTCCCATCATCCCCTGCAGCCTCTGGCACATCGATCTTCGTCGATTGTCGCATGCGCCTCTCTGTACTGGTTGATGTTGGACTGGCATTTTCCTCTTCTTGAGAACCTTTTTCCTCAGCAGGGGATGGTGTTACCCTACAAAGAAATAACAAACATGGATCATATGGTGATCATAATAAACATTTCAGTTTGAGATTTCTTCAACTTGTTTGTTTGTTGTTTAACGCTTAACTCAGCAATATTCCAGCTATATGACAGTGGTTTGTAAATAATTGAGACTGGACCAGACAATCCAGTGATTGATGTCATGAGCATCTATCCATGCAATTGGGATACGAAGACATGTAGCAACCAAGGCAACGAGTCTGACCACCCGATCTTGTTAGTCGCATCTTAAGACAAGCATAGTCGCCATTTTACAGCAAGCATGGGTTGCTGGAGACCTACTCTCCCCCGTATCTTCACGGGTATCTTCATCTTGTTGAACAGGGCTGGGACGGGTAACTCAGGTACTGGGTTCAGATGGGTACTGAGTAGGACCCGGGTACCCACAGGACTGCCCGGACCTGTGGTTAGTCACGTGACATATTGTTTAATAATAAACATTCGCTACTAACTCCATGGTTACCTACAAGTCGCAAATGTTCAGACATCTTTCTGACAATATGCGCATTCCTTCTGACAGTTATATGAGTAGAGTAAAGATACAGCTTCAGTGTATGCGTGACCAGAATATTTTATATGTGTATCTAAATACTTTTTGCCAGGGGTCTGGTAAAACAATTCCTAATCAGACATTTTGTGCCCAACTCTTGAGACCTACAGCGGGTATCCGGGTAGGGTCGGATAATAGGGGTCGGGTACCAGGGTACTAAATTGGGACTTGTCCCAGCCCTACTTGACTGAAAGCTCCATGACACTTAATAAGGTCTTGGGGTTGGACAAAAATAAATTATCAGTATGACAGAGTGATCATAGCTTGTTAATGAGTGTTTTCAATGTATGAAAGTAATGTCATTTTGTTCATCTGATATCATCCATTTATCCCAGTGGGGAATTGGGGGCAGAGCCCACAGCTGACATACATGTCTCAGAATGTGGACAAAGTTGATACAAGGTGTGACCTGGGCGACTATGTCACTGTAACCTGACTGCATTGAGGCTTGTTATCAACCACTGGTTTCTCTGACAATGCTGATCCTGACTTGATTATTTGCAGACTGGCATAAAAAAATGCTTACTGTGCCATTCACTCACACTCACATATTTATTATTCATATAAAGAGATCCATGATTAAGTTTGTCAATATCTTGTGTTAAACCTCTGTGTTACAGAGAATATAAATGAAAGCTTTGATAAAGGCTAATAAAGACCCCCAACCCGCTCACTAAATCTGTGAAACATTCTTGCAAAAATCCATTTCATTGACTGTTGTGATATTCATAACAATTCATATGCTTATTCACATTTGCCTTAGCGGATAGGTATAACATGATTAGAATGTGACAGGTAATGAGAGAATAGTAAAATTGTATGCTAGTATCAGTAAGATTATAGTAAGCCTAGATCTAGATCATATGCGTCTGTTCCTGGGAAATGGCACGACACTCATAATGTGTTTGATGATCCAGTTCTACATGTGTCAACATTACAATAAACGCTAGGCAAAAAGTTGCCAAGTTGTTTGAATTAATCGTAACTGATGTGGAAAATAGTGTGTATAACATTAAATAAATAATAAAGCACGAAGACTTTTGAAAGAGCTAAATTAAGTTTTGTTTACTTCATGCAGATTGACCTCTCGATCCGAATCTGCGCCCGGGCTGTTCAAACGATCCGCGTTTACGACCGACCCTCCCTCCTCGTAGTTACCGCGTAACTTGTTGTCAGTATCAAGAATTAATACGTTGCACAATCTTATGATACAATATACAAGTCGATTGCGGGATAGATGAATAAATAAGGCGTCAAAACAAAAACAAGGATCTCATTACCGATAAAGTAAAATTCAACATGGCTGCCATCACGAAACTCGCGACCAAGCAACACTGAAAATAATTTAGCCGAAAATAATTATACTTTGAGGTTCTAACGACAATTGACAAACCCATTAAATTCTAAGCACCCTATGGATTAACCGTACGCAATATTGTGGCAACAGATAGTGCGACAGCTTCAGAAATAGAACGAAAACATGTCGTGTTTTGAGATGGCAATATGGCGCTAGACAATTTCACAAACGAAACATTACCGACTTCCAACACCGTCCCGAACACTGTTTTCATCCTGAGAAACTTTCCTTCGTTTTCCCGGTGGCATATACACTGATTGCACGCAACCTTGACACAAGTTTATGTCTACATAATTTCACAAGTGTCCTCAAATGGCCTGTGTGTAAATCCCGTCAGTCCACAACTCGGCAGCGGCGGCGAACTGGCTTCTTTCTTCCGATGCACAGTGGTGATATTTAAAAGAACAGATAAATCCACCTCTTTCAAACTATGTTTAACTACAAAACTCTATGGACCATTTATGGACAACATGTGAAATAAGCTATGTTCGCAAATAAAATATCAACTAAACATCGTTTGAGCTCGTCTTTTGTTATGTTCTAACATGACAAGTCCTAGAGCCCAAGTACAAGGTCATGTGACAGATTTCTCAGGTTTGGATATTGAAATACAAAATAAAAATATTACACTTGTAAATTTATTTATTTATTTCTACACTTGCATAAAGATTTGTAAAATTAGGCAGCGAAAGAAAAATAAAACACATGTTTGAATAGATGGTTTTCAATGAAATATAGGTTTTCGCACACCCATTATATCACACGATATTGCTTAGGTTCAAGGGAAAATAAATTGATGCAGACACATACATAATGAAATTATTACTGACATTATGAAATACACGTTTAGATGTGTATATGAAACTGAAATAAATACTCTTCATAGTAATAACAATAAGTATAAGGTAAATTCATCTTACTTTTCCGATATATAGAAAACGCAAAAAATGCTCCAAACATTTTAGTTGAAAATTTATGGCGTTTTGGTAGTTTGTCGTTTAATTGTCCCCGTAGATGAAGAAACATCAATAACACTTTTTCTTATAAATATTATACCTTTTGAATTTTATGTTAGTTGAAACATACTTGATACTATGACGAATCTATTTCAAGTGCTTACTGTTTACACGCATACACTATGTAATTGTCAATTCATGTTTTTTGGTTTAAATATTGCGTTAAAACATTGTTTATTGACTAATAATACGTTGACAAGCAAGGTTGTGCTTCTGTGAAATGTTATTACCAACACATCACATGTATATAACGGTTACCAGCTTTCCTGAGACCGATTATGTTTTGTTTTCGTGGCACAGGACCGGCAAAGTAAGGATTGTTGTCATTTGACTTGGCGGGAATCACACAGGGGAATCCCAAGCGGTGATTGGTCAATGGAGTCACATGACTGGAAAACTCCCCTAATGCCCGCCCACTATTAAAATAGAAACAACAGTTAACGAAATCGGGTAAAGCGAAATGATAGAATTTTGAATTATTGTCAAAACTGTTAACGTTATGTTTTATACAAGTCGAACAGAGAGACAATTTCCGACATATATTATTTTGACATTCGCATTTGTAACGAAGAATCTGATTGGTCAAAGTGGGAAATGTTCTTTATACACAAAGATGTGCCTATACGTGCAAACCAAGCGATACCATTGTATCAAATACTAACACTGTAAACTATTACAATAGTGAATTATGTTTGCGATTTCCCCTTTCCTTTTACAACAAATGTCAAGCGACACCGACACCACACCAGCTGGAATAAATCGTAAACTACTTTCTTGTCCACAACTTAAAGGCTGATTTTGAATACAAAGACGTCTGTTGGACATGTGCATTTTAGATTTTCTATAACTTACTGAATTTTGTTGATTTCGTCCTCATATGTGAAGAAGTAAAGTTTATTTATGATTCACAAATTATTTTTACATTCACTACCAGCAGAGTGATATTTTTGCAATCGAGTTACACTGCCACACACATTCAATATGGCGTGCAGCTTAGTTCCAAACAAGGATAGTCAAACACTGTTCTGTATTTACCTAAAATTATAAATATTCAAATGTTTTCAATCCGAGTATCGTGTAACAGATTTCAACTTTGAGTATCACGCTGTTATGAACATGCTACAATTATTCCTGACCTAAACATTGCTCCCTAAATATATAATTACATACATGGATACGTTATGTAATCTCCAACGACGCTCATACACCATTGTACAAACAATTTAAATTACCATTTAGACAAAAGAAAAGTTCATTCTAAGCTCAATCTAAATTTTATTTCAATTTTAATCTATTTTATGCAATAAGTATTTGAGTATACAGTTCCCACTGACTCTGTTGTCGTTCTGAATCAGGTGTTATAATATATACTAACTTTGCGCAATGACTAATTATATTTTTAGCTGCCTGATGTTTAACCTACACCCGATGATAACACGGTGTGCGTGCGTGCGTGCGTGCGTGCGTGCGTGCGTGTGTGTTAAAGAAACAGTTGTTGCCAATAGGCAGATAACAAACTTAATTAATCAAACAATCGGATTAGCAATAAAGAATAGAATGGGATTAATCGACGTTGAATAGTGCGGCTTATTCATTGCTTTGTTACGCCCAAATGGATCGTGTGCTAGGTTAGTTTAGTGTTTATCGTTATGTATAAATACAGAACGGGGAAATTAAACAAAATAGTTTATTTTTGGCCACTTTAATCTATTTACCATGTGGATAAAATTCATATATATCCCCCAGGATAATATGGACCATATTCGTTATGCCGACATGACAAGAGATTTTGATGTCTTATCAACAGAAGCCTGTTTGATATAATGTCAGTTTGAGGTTGTTGTCACGAGGGTAGTACTATCAGACGGAATGTAATGACATCACACAGGTGTGCGTGAAATTCGAAAGGTTGGTGAGCGAGACAGTCGTCAAGCTGGTTGTGTGTTACTTTGAGGGAGGTTTCAGCAGAAGAAATATTGAGTAGGACATTAGCGACAGCGAATTCTACATTCCACGTCAAAATGACCACGACATCGAACATGTGCGGGCTGAAAGAAGACGAAAAGCCATCATCGAGGTGAATTTCATGTTTTGTGACATAGATTATGAATGAAAGACAGGCAAGGCATGGCTGCCGTGTGACCACTTCCTGTGAAATCAATGAGATGTACAGTTTATGTAAATGTTTATATATTGGATCAACACTCTGTCTCAACGTGCCCCTGATTGCTTAGGAATTGTAATGCATACTCGGGTGACCTACTTACTATGCATGTCTGAATCGTGCTGCTGTGGCCACACCGTCCCACGGAATGTCATGTGGGTTTCAATCAATTTTAGCATGAATCATCACCATTAGGTTATACCTACGTTACCTCTGGAGCCTTTACTTGTTAACCTATTTTTAAATTATAATGAGAAAATTTGATTTTCAGTAACTTCCTTGATTTTGTGTTGCATTCCCAGCCCTGTCATTGTTCTGGGTTAGAACTGGGCCCCAGCTACCTTTGCAGATCCAAAGATGTCAGACTCCGTGACTTGTTTGACATCCATGTCATCATGCCCCTAAGGCGTGAATTATAGATCATAATATGAATCACATAATTATCTGGCAGAGACTATTATTTACAGGCGGCTGTCATATAGCTGGAAAAGTGCAGCATTAAACAGTTAACAGTCTCATACAACAGAAACAGTATCTTTTGGAGTAAATTGGTCAGGAACATAGTATGCTTATGATGCCAAAAAGATTATTTTAGTAAAAAATCGGAAAGACTTCGCCTGTATCCCCCGCCCAAAAGTTATATATGTATGCATTGCCGCGGAATCCATTTACTTATATGTATTTTTTAGGGGAGATATGGGCAGAAGTCTTACAAAAGAATCTATGATGCCATTTCTTTTTACTAAATGATATATCCCTAATAGGCCTGGGACGGGTTACCCAGGTCGGGTGGGTACTGAGAAGGACCCGGGTATCCACAGGACTACTTGGACCTTGATTAGTCACATGATGTATCATTTAATGGGAAAAATTTACTATTACAACTAATGGTTACCTACAAGTCACTAATGTTCGCATATGTTTCTGACAATATGCCCATTCCTTCCAACTTTATGTTTTGAGTAAAGATGTAGCTTCAGTCAACTTCCGTGTATGCATGACCACATCTTTTTATAGATGTACCTAAATACTTTTTGCCGGGGGTCCAGTAAAACAATTCCTAACTGGACACTCTGTACTCAACTATTGACACTACAGCAGGTATCCGGGTAGGTTTTGGTTAATAGGGGATCGGGTACCTGGGTTGTAAATTTGTACACGTCCCAGCCCTATATTCCAAGATGCACTTGGCACACAGGGTTAGAAACTAACAGTTTTTGTCCACTAGTCCTTACAATGATAACATATAGCAAAACCCTCAATGGGCCATTTTCAACTCGTCCTTAGCAGGGTTAGAAATTGGCACTTGAAGTAGTCCTTGCAAATCTGCCCAATAGTTAAGGTATCATAAGGACTAGTAGATATTTGGGTTTTTTTAGGGGTTTTGCTATATATTATCATTATAAGGACTAGAGGACCAAAAATGTTAGTTTCTACCGCTGCCTTAGGATACTTTTACTATTGGGCAGTTTGGTAAGGACTACAGGACTAGTGCCAATTTCTAACGCTGGCACAGCAGACTGGTTTACAGACACCTTTATCTTCACTGCTGATTACTTTTTTTCAGTCTCATACCCTGGTTTGATTTTAACAATAGACCATGACTTTGCTGGGGCGGTCGGGTAGTCTAGTGGTTAAAGCGCTAGCTCGTCACGCCGAATCCGGATTTGAACCCTGACATGGGTACAATGTGTGAAGCCCATTTCTGGTGTCCCCGCCGTGAAATTGCTGGAATATTGCTAAAGGCGGCATAAAACCGAACTCACTCACTCACTGTGACTTTGCTGACAGCTTAATACCTGAGTCTGTATTTTTATACATGTAGAGAGGTTAATAGTTAATTTGTTAACTAGAATCAATTCAAAGACAGTTTGTACCTCTTCTGTCAACAAGGATATACATTGACTGCAGTTGCAATTTCAGTTGTAAAATATTTCAGAGGTTTTTATCAGTGCAGATGTTTATAAATTCATGTATCATGTCATTCATAGATAGGATTATATGTTTATTGTGATATCCTTGATAATGGTATTGTTTGTATTTCAAAGGCCCCTATTTAGACATTGACGTTGCAGGCCTCTACCTTAAGTGTTAACAAATCTAATTGAAATCAAGTCATTTTCTCCGATATCTGGGGTAGACATGGCTGGTCATATCCAACTGGTCAGCTGTTCATTTCAGTCTAGTGGTTACGTAAAGTAACTAAATATAGGAATTAAGCAACCAGTCCATCTAGATAGATTAGCCATGTCTATATGTGGATATCATACCGCTCTGAGAAGGTCTGACGACTCTCCATAGAAGGTTAGACTGTGTGAAACATCCAAAGTATAACATAATCACACAACCTTCATCATTAACATTCGGAATAGGTCATTTAAGTTTGTTTTCAAGACACAGAAATTGGATAAGCTGCTCAGAATACTTTGCTCACTTGGTATGTTAAGGATAAAACACTCCTCGCTTTTGGTTGAAAATGTAAAAACGCAAAATAGGGTATAGTCACAGAGCCTGACCACTGCATCCATTTGATGGCCTCTATTTTGCTGGGGACATGTTTTTTATCCAGAAAATTCAGTGGGTCCATTGCAATAGTATTGTGATAGGTTGGCAAGTATCTCGGCCATGACAATGATTTCCCAACATTGTCCGACATGACAAATCCGTACAGATCCATCAGGATATAGATTGAGTTGATAATCTGATTGCTTCGGAAGTTGCTGGTAAAACATCAGGGGTAAGGCACCATTTGGCAAATGTTGCTAGTATGCAGATCATTTAGGACTAATGGTTTATACCTCTGATAATCTCGAAAACATTTATCGTTTCCTGAATGGATACCCACACACGTCTTCAAGCAAAATATGTTTGGGATCAACTGCTTTTGAAAGCAAATACAAATGTAGTTTTTGTGTTTTTCATGATGTCAGTTGGTAGGCGAGTGCAGCGTTGATGTTTATTATTCATATTTTAATTTGTCATTGATGTATTGTCATCATTTATCATCACTCGCATGTTTCCATGTCCTACAAGGCTTGTCCCCCTCTCGATGGTCACCATGCGATGAAACGGCACAAGCCAATCAGAATGCGCATCAGGATAAGATTACTTCAATTAATATGATGCAGAGTATTTACATATTTCGGCAATATGCGTTTGTTTAAAAATGTGGAAAAATGTAGATTGTCAGTTCCACACCACAGTGTATACATATGACAGAAATGTGATATATATAGAGAGAGACATTGTTGCTTGGATGATAAATTCAAACGTTCACATGCATTTGTTTGCATTAGGGAAATGGCTCACTAGACTGCGACATCTGTTCATTTCAGATATAACTAGACCTGGCTATCAAAAACGACATTCTGTGTAATATCCCTTTCTATATTATATGTATTAAAGTAATTAAGTAAGCATAGATAGCAAAACAAATTATTCACATACCTATCAAACTCTGTGGGGGTGGGGGGCATTGGATTTATTCTGTCTGTAGTAGTTCAATCAGGACAAGAAAGGTCCTAACACAAGAAGTATGTGGAAATGATGACATACCAGATTTCTAGATAAGCTGCGTATCTGCGTAAAATACGCATCAGAAATGCAGAAATACGCAGTAAAATAAAATCCAAGTGTATCAAATATGCAACGAACATTACAGATACGCTACAAAAATAAAACTTGTGCGTATTATCAAAATATTGTGAAGTAACCCTGCGTATTCGATTAGCAAATCAGCAACTTATTTTGAAATTATAAACGGGCATTCCATCAACCTTGCTAAACTCCACGATGACAGTTACATCATGATCATTTGTCATAACACTTTCTTGTGGAAGTATCGTGGTATTTTTGAGTCCTATAAAAGCTCTCGAACCCACACAATACCAGTTTGCAGGGACTAGATGAATAGTGTTTTTAAATATTTAACTTAAATACCCACATGTGTAAAAACTAGTGGGTAACAGAAATTTGAATACCCAGATAGAATTACTGAAAAGCTAAAGCTTAGCTGGAGCTCTGTTTACCCTGAAACATTATGAATGACGTACATATTCTCTGGTTTATTAAACCTTTAAGAGACTAGAATGATATTCCCACACAATTTAATAAGTTAAATACCAACTTTAACAAAGCTATGAGTTATAGCCAGCACATGTATTGTATTCAGCTACACATTTTTGCATTAGTTAAAAAGATTGTAATTCTTCCTTTTTTCTTTACACCTTAAACTTCAACAAGTTTTGAATATTGAAGTTTGTTTGTTGTTCACACTAAGAGATATTCAAACTATATTGCGGCTGCTCAGACATTGTATAATCTAGACGTCACCAGGCAAACCAACTGTTGGTATTGTAATAAACGATCCACATGATTGAGATATGATTGTATGCAATCAACCAAGTTACCGAGTTTGACCTCTTACGACGAGCATAGGCTACATAGGAATCCCTGCAGGATTTGAATATTAACATGGTCTCACTATGATGTTTGTATATGTTTAGAAATACTTCTATGTATCTCTAGACATGGTGGATATGATATTCCTACAAAATTTTGTTGTAATTAATTCATATGAAACATGTACTATCCGCCAAGGCTGTCTATGAAAGGAGCAGTTCAGTCATGAAATAAATGAGTTTGAAGAAATGTTGTTTGGAGCATTGAACAGACAATGTCAAATTTGCTAGACTTGAACATGTCTTGAAAGTTCATTGTTGAAATTACTGAAGTCCAAAAATCACCTTCGTCTAGTCAGTTTTCTTCATCTAAATTTAATGTCTGATGTAAAACTCAATAATTTGCGAATATAAGAAACAGCTGAGATAGAATGAGTTGAATGGCTCAATATACTTTTGTACAAATGAATATATTTGTATCAGAGAGGTTCAATACTGTTACAGCAGGAACAAGAGAGCCCTGTTGTAACACCTACATTAATTTTAATTTAAGACGTGGGTAGAATAAAAGTTATTGTTCTTGTTTGAAATAGTTCTCATGTTCATACACCAATATGGAAACCTTGCAGACGGGCATGAGTCAACATTCGGCTTGTCCCAGAATTGGACAAGTTGGTCACGAATTGTTTTGTCATCTGCCCATGGATAATTGTGAGGAATTGATGCTTGATCATTCATTACACACCCTAAACATCTGTGATTAAATTTGATAAATATAGATCTATATTACATGATTGTTTCGGAGATACCAATCTGTCTGATTTAGAGACATATAAGTTAAAGTCTCCCAGTAACATTTCAAATTTTAGTTGCCAATTGTTTTCAGTCAGCAACAAAAGATTTTCGTCTAACATGTATAAACAAGTCTAAAATAGCTGGGACCATTACCACATCTTTCCTACCCCTCTCTGTAATACCATCATCCTCATGATTTATCAAAAATCTAATTTCTCCCTAAGCACTGAAGATGATTACAATGTACCTACCTAAACTGAGAGAAAGAACGGCTTGTCATTAATATGAAATAGATCATGGTTTTATGATGTTCAGCATTTATATTGTTAAGGTTGAAGGTATTGTGTTATAGAGCTTTGTAATGTAATCCTTGTAGCTGTAAGTCATGTGACAAATGCGCAGATTTATGCATAAACTATTGTGCAGCAAAATAAGTGTATTCAAAATTGATCAGAATAAGGCGAGGCATTTCCAATTTTGAAATATTATATTTGTAAGGGACGCAGATGTGACAATATTAAGATTGGGTTACAGTTTTCAGTTTTAGAAATCTCTGTAACTGTAAATCACTGGCCTGTAAAGTGTTTAAATTTTGGAGGAATGTAGAAGACCAGTCGACCTCACTCATTTTTTTGTTCTGTCTTAGAAATCTGCCCAAATGCAAATTAAGCAGTGGTACCCAATCTCATTAAAATCTTGAGCTCCAGATACGTTAACTCTCTGCCTGAAGATCTGCCATGTCAGGTGAACTTTCTACACAGCCAATCAGCATTTAGGCTTCTAAGTTAACGCTATCTGCACTTTAGCTCGTAATATATCTCAATTCAATTGTTTTATGCCAATACAAAGCCCTATTTATTATTTTAGTTCTTATTCTTATTGGGGGCACAGGTGGCACAGCTGCCAAAGACGTCACTTTGTTGTGCAGAGTTCCGTCCCTTGGACACGCAAGAAAACCTTCAATAGTAGGGCTGGTTATCGATATGGATTTCTCAGATCGATTATCGGTAGTCACATATCGATCAATAATCGATAAATATCAAAGAATTCTATTTTGGTAAAATGACATTACAGAAAAATGGCATTTCACTTCTCCGGAGACTCAGTGTTTCAACAATACGCACGTTACATCGCATTTTTAGCGATGAACAATTTGAGTTTAAGATTCATGTCGTCAAAGACAATTATTATTTCTATAAAGTGAGAATACCGTATTTTCTTGAGTATTCCTTTTAATATTGTTTTTATTAATTTCGGCGAAATCGTGTGTGAAGCGATCGGAAGATCGCACAACTCACCGTTATTAACAGCAACCACGGTCAGAATACCGCTATTGACGTCTTGAAACGAACTTTAGTTGACAGAGAATGGATACATATATCATAAATGACATACTTTGACTCGTTTAAAGTCATATTTGTTTTTGTTTGACGATTCTATGTCAACATGAAATTCTCGCGATCACGTGCGCGTGAGCCTTGACGGTGACTGGTCAGACTGAGTCCATGTAAAAAGTAATACCCGGGAATAGCGATCAGCTGCTTCGCTTAGGGTTATTATCTATTTTAAATATGTTTAGTAAAGGCTGTATATAATTAAGAAAATAATGGAATATATTATTCTTGATAAAAAAAATAGTTTCATATACAATTTTTGCCGATCCTTGCATTAAAAATCCTATTAAGTTATTTCATTGGGTGTGTCTTGACCGAATCACCGGTCGATTCCAAGAAAACGTGTGTACAGCTGATTGCTGTTTCCGGCTTAGTTTACGAGAAAATACACAAGGTAATCTTAATCCCGGGATATAAAACAATGCCTAGCAGAACAATAAATACTATTTAAACGGTAAATAAACATGTCTGGTGATTTTTTTTCTCAAATTTCGAATTTGTACTGACGAAGTTTCTCATCACCCGTTCGTGTGCCGGACTTCGCTGAAAGGGTACGGTGTAATTTTTTTCTGCGCATAATATTCAAATTTCTTTTTTTCCAAAATATTGAACCCGCTAGAGGGGGGTGCGCATTATACATGGGTGCGCACTGTACTCAAGAAAATACGGTAATTGAGAAATTAAATGTAATTTCACCTGATATAGTCGTTTGTCATTTATGTACAGTATTCACGAAACTATTCAGATAAAAAATCATCAAATATTCCGCCATTGTGAATGTCAGGTGTGTACAGGTGTGTGCTACGTAGTAGGTTGTACTAGGTTCACAGGTGTGATACGTAATAGATTGGGTGGCAGACTGATATTAAACAAACATCGTGCGATTATAACGGGGAAATTAGGAATTTTTGCTGCCATATCGTAAAAATGTCAAACCCCACGTGGACCTCACGTGGGCTGTGAGTTGAGAATACCGGCAAAAACGAAAACCATGATCATTGAAAAAATCGAAACAGACTGGAATACGTAGTTACCAAATAGACATAAAATTTGAAATTTTAGGAAATAGAATGGGAAGAATTCTTTTTAAGAATTAAAGTATTATGAAACCTATTTTAATCATGATACTTCATACTATTTCGAAAATATACATATTTTCTAAAATCCTGACTCCGCATTTAGATGCCTGTGACTACATTTTAATTACCCACTATCAACACGTAATGGCGTCGTCGTTCGATTCAAAGCAGAACTTTTTACTTTTTCAAACATTTGATTTTTATTTGCGACTAAACATCAAGCGAAGGGGAGAAAACTGTATGTTAGGGTGAATCTGTCTGTTTATATCTAGCGATAATTACAAGGATAGCAAAACAAATAAGTCAAATGTGTTGCAGTAAAAACTTTTATTTGTCGAAAAAATACATGTCATTATCGATAGCATTATATTCATATCGATAATCGTCACAACCTTCTTCCATCGATGATAATTACGATTATCGATCTAAATCACCAGCCCTATTCAATAGTGGTTTTCGAATCCCAGTTCGAATCCCGTGCTCATGGGTTTCACCAATTTCGTCAACGTTTGAGACCTGCATCACTTTGTACTTTCCTCCCACTAAACTGTCACTTGATATAACCATCTTCCCGAGGCAAGAGAGCTAGCTGACTATAAAAGTCCAGTTTCCACCCTTGCCGAACTAGGCTTGTATTATGGAGTTACATTTTGGCTGGACTAACGAGTTTATGCATCGAGTTTATATAAATCGAAATACGGTTCGTAAACTGTCGTACAGATTTCGGTCGATTACAGGGTTTGCAGAGCATGTGTACTGTCAAATCTTTGTAAGCAGATATTTTCCAAATCTTTTCATGTTTTTAATCAATGTGCTCACGTGATTTGATGCATTTCGCGATGTAAGACCCGTTTAATCACAATATAGATCTTGATTATCTATCAGATCCTCCTTACAGGGTGCCGCCATTTTGTTCGAAGCAAATGCAAGTGATATGAGGGGTGGAATCTGATTGGTCCATAGGAGAGGCATAGAAGGGAAATAACGGGTAATACAATCGACCCCAGTAATTCCAGCCTAGTTCAGCAAGGGTGGAAACTGGACTTTTAAGGTCAGTTAACTCTCTTGCCTCGGAAAGATGTGATATAACTGGAATACTGTAAAAAGTGATGTAAACCTAACTCACTCTTATTAGAAGTACCTTGTGAGCATCCAGTATTGGAACAGGTCCTCAATATTTTATGAATATACATATTACAAACCTCACCTGTACAGTAGTATACAGTTGTTATGACATGTAAATAAGAAAACAAAGATTCCCAATCTCACGTTTCTTAGAGCCAACAGGAATGGGGATTGTGTGGGCTGATTCAGATTGTGTGTCATATATCTTGGCCATACAGTAGAACACGGATATAACGAACAAACGGATACAACGAACTGTTAAAAAATCCCCGATTTATCTCCTATATAATATCATATAAAATTTACGTATATAACGAACTCTCTACAGCGAACTAACGGATACAGCGAACTGATATCTGATCACCGACAAGCCCATTTATCACTAATTAGCAACGTGTATAGCGAACTGAGAAATCTCACTCAGTGTCAAGTGTCACTGACAATTGGCTGTATGCAATCAGCGGTGAATCAAAACAATGGCGGCGAATCAATACAATCAGCGGTGACGGATCAACCTTGTTAAATTTGCATTGTGTTAATCTTACCTGTACATGTAATCTACATGTATTTGATAACATCTTCAGAAAATGTTATGAATTTAATGTTATTAAATGAATGTTGTAAATTGGTATCAAATTGAATGATCACTGCTAATACAAATAATGCTGCAGTTACGTGTTTATTGTGTTTTGTCTTATCCAAGATGGCGGACATTTCCGAGCGAAAACGTGTATAACGAACAACGGATATAACGAACTGATTTCTCTGGTCCCTAGTAGTTCGTTATATCCGTGTTGTACTGTATATTCATCATTGCCTTTTGTTTAACAGAGTGCTGAGACCCCCAGGTGGTGCGTCCAGCGACATCTTCGGGACAAGTACTGCTCCTACAAGTGCTCCACGACAGCAGAACCAGAGGAACGGATCCAACATCTTCGGCGGGCCCGAGGAACCTTCTCCATCGCGTGCCCAAGCCAACAATAGCTCTCAGTCCAATTTGTTTGGAATGGAGCCACATGTTCTGGCAGGGAAAGGCCGCAATCAGAGTAGGGGTACCTGTAGATTTAGCATGTCTTCTTACCTATCGCAACACAGTTCAACAGAAGGTGGCTGCCCAATGGAACCATCTACCTTCTGGTGAAAGATGTAACCTCCTCTTCACACCAATCAGAGCAGTCATTGCACCAATTCTGGTATTCGATTCTACAATCGATAATCAACAAGATCAAGTTGTGGTTGACAAGATTGATTTAAAAAGGGCTTGTTTGAGTTTTTGATCTGCAGCGAGTCAGCTTTAGGGTGCAGATGGGACTTGTTTTTGTTTTTTTGTTATTTTATCCAACTTGTTTGATAGAGGAAACCAGTTACAGAATTTATTATCTTGCACTGTGCATACTTAAAGTAACCATGGTAACATTGCAGATTCATTGACAGATATAGTTTACTAATCTTGATGTAAGAATTTTCTTTTTGTTGTAACATTGGATATGGGCTTAACATGTGAACATATTTTTGTATGTTCTGAGGAAAGGTGCTGTTGATTGGTAGGTGTGACGGTGACTGCTTTGTTCTGTAGGTGTCCTGATTGTACCTGCACTGTTAACCTGCACCAGCACTGATAGTGGCATGCATGTAGTGTCTGTCTCCAGTACAGCTTTAGTAGCGTTCATGTAGTGTCTGATTCTAGTACAGCTTTGCCCCTCTGGTCACACATTTGTGACACACTTTTTGATGTCGCTTTTCTTTTTGTCGTGACCTTATCAATGATACTGCTTGCTGACGCATGATAGGACGTAAGAGCATAACTGATATTGCAGATCAGGGCTCGATTTAGCTGTATAACATGCACCAGTGCAACCTGGTATTGAAGAATGAAATAATGTTATTGTCAGCATGCATGTAAAAAAGAGTCGAGATTTCTGTCTTCATAACCCTTATTTGTCCACACGACATTCCTTGTTACACAGTATTTTTTATTATATTTTTTTCTGCGTCCATTCTCTACATTTATACGTACTGGACTCACACCTGGTACACCTGGGTTTTCATGTCAACATGCATCTGGTGCAAGTAAATTCAAGTTCCTTAAATCGAGCCCTGCTCTTGAATGAAAGATGTTTTGTATAATCAGTTGCATAAATTTTAGAATTGATAGTTTTGGCTGGCCTAGAATACTGCCCGAAATACACAATATAGGATTAGAAATATCTAAATTTTGGAAGATTTTGATGTGTGGTCGAGTGACGCATGTTTGCGCACTGCCAAAAGGTCATTTGTTGCATCTTTTAGTTTTATTGTACATGTTTTAAATTGTATGAGACATCTTTCCTTACACTTAAATATCGCTCAGTTGCTCATGTTCTTTTGAATGGATGTCACTGAGCATCCTATGGTGTGAGTTAAAGTAGGTCAGGTATCTGTTTGCTTTGTGGAGTCTAGTAAACCCTCTATATTAGCGTGGCCTGTGGTACTTGTCAATCAGTCTGCACCTTTATCTACTAGCCTGAAGCCCATGCCTAGTTATACCTGTTTGGTCATGTAAGCATACCCATATGTTTGAGTGTGCTACATTATGAACAAATTTGGGCTTTCAGGCGGGAAAGTGTTTGGTGCAGAATGATTTTATATAACTGGATTTCAGGATATTATCAAAGCATGGGTTTTGGTGTATCCTTTCTTGCATGACAGACCTCAGCTAAATTTGCCCCAGGGACTTGACCTTTGCCTGTAACAGCACTGGGCGTGGCAGCAGTACGTGTATTAACGTTAGGAGGACTTAAATTGTATGACTAAATCCTTTCAAAAATGGACAAATATTTGAAGAATGTGTTTAGCATTGTAAGAGGGATATCATTAACGTCAACATTATTTAGAATTTGTGTAACTTTCATGCAAAAGTTAACTTTTTGAAAGGCTTTTGGTACATTGCAAACGACTTAAATATATACAAGTAGGTCACTGTGACCTACATCCCATGGTCGAGCTGAAAACAACTGTGGCAGTGTATACAAAAGGTTTCTGTTGCTGTAGAAATACTTCAGTACATTAGAACTAGTATTCATAATGTCTATAAGTGAGTGATCGTATGATTTTTGTCAGGCTTTGATGTGAAAGTTTGGATTTTAAGTCAAATAGAAAACCTGGATCCAAGGACACACGTTCTGTGAAAGGACGTCGACAGTTGCAGTGGTCTTTAGTCCCAAAATATATTTGGTTTCTTGTTCATTAGGCCAACCTCTGGGGTCAGGTTTGTAGCGAATTATTATAATGGCTTGCCATATCTTTATTTATCTTATTTTATGCTTGGAGTTTAGTGCACCATCAAAACTCTTCCACACTATCCATAGTGTTTTTACTCATACTAGTTGTAGCACTTTCTATGAGAACTAGTTTGATAAGTGTGCAATGGAAAACTGATTGTTTGTAAGGCTGTGTCCAGCTCATAACAGTAATTATTGTAAATAAATGAGTAAACATTCTTTTCCTGATATAACGACTTATAATCAAGTGATTAAATTTAATTTTATCAATGTTTCAAACACCAAAAACAACATTACTCATTGTGTACCTGATCTGCTTTCCAGGCAAGTTCAACCCCATCACTGGAGAACCTTACGAGGATGCTGTATCCCCCGCTGCAGCCCCAGCAGCTCCTGTTGTGAAGCAGCAGCAGGAGCAGCAGCCACAGCCACAGCAACCGCAACAGGTCAGAATACCTCTACTTCATCCCAATAATTAAAGTTTGAATCGAGGGGCGGTTGGGTACCCTAGTGGTTAAAGTGTTCATAGTGACCCTGAAGGCCCAGGTTCGATTCCCCACATGTGTGAAGCCCATTTCTGGTGTCCTCCGCCTTGATATTGCTGGAATATTGTTAAAAGCGGCATAAAACCATACTCACTCACCAAAGTATGAATTGTCTCGGTGGGATGGTATACCCGCGGGGATTCGAATATGTCCCCAGTAACATTTAAATTTGTTTGTAAGAGGCATCTAAATGGGTGTACGGTGAGTTTGTTTAATTCCAAGTCACTGAGCCCCTTTTTGTAGGAATTTGGCCATAATATAAATCACAGGTTTGTCTCTGGACAGTTATTTGTGAGCTGTCATGATAGGCTAGATTATTGCTGATCGGGGTAATAAACAACAAGAGTTACTGAGAGTCCCCAGGAATCACAAATAGATGTGGTAGCCAAGTGGTTGAAGTGTACGCTCGTTGAAGTGTACGCTCAATTCTGCACAGGGTACTAAGTGTGAAGCAAGTTTCTGGTGTCCCCTGTCATGATTGCAGGAATGTTGCTAAAAGCAGCCCGAGAGCACACTCACTCGATTTTGATCATAATATCTGAAACAAGATAAGGGGCGATAAGGTTGACTGTGGTTAAGATGTTTCCTTGTCAGTCTGAAGGCCTGGGTTGGATTCCCCACATGGGTACAATGTGTGCAGCCCATTTCTGGTGCCCCCACCCGTGATATTACTAGAATATTGCTAAAAGCAGCATAGAACCTCACTCACTCACTCACTCACTCACTCACTCACTCACTCAAAATCATCATAAAAGCTCAAGCCTATTTGTTTAGTATTATTCCACACATATCCTTGTAAATTACTGTTGTTGGTTGGTTCAGGGGTTCATCAATAATTTAGTAAATTTACAATCAATAAGTCAGTATCTGTTGTGAATGCTTACTCCATCATCAATAAAACCCAGTTATTCAAACTGGTCCTAAAAGAGAAACCAAACTAACTGCAATTTAGAAATGTAACGTAGCATTTCCCCAACATGTAACAATGTTCTATATTGTGCTTCAGACGGCCAGCCCCTCAGCTGCTGCATCAGACCAAAGTGGCCAGGGTGACGCCAGCCTCCAGGCCGGAGAGGGCAAGGCACAGCCCGGGGTGCACACCTCCTCCCGAGTCCTCAACCCCCCTGGGGGTGTGGCCCACAAACTGTGGTGAACTCATGTTTGGACTTCCGGCCCGCTTGGTGCATATAGCTTGGTCACTTGAGCTGGCTGCTTCCTGAAGGAGCCCTATCGTTGACATGGATGTATCATTCTCCACACAACAACTGAAGCCACAACTCCAAGTCAGGATACCAGCTCAGTTCGTGTTGGTTTCTGTTGAGTTTGAGAAAATAGCTTGTATATTATGATTTCTGTTACTGTTCTTTCATACCTGGATTTTTATGAATATTGACATATACACATGCTTTGCTCTTTGAGTTTGGATAAACTGTATTTACTGTGGGTTTGGATCAAATCAGCAAAGCTTCTGTAAACATTTCTTTGTATGCTTATTTGATGGTTTCAAGTCAGCGCCTCATCTGGCAGCACTGCCAACTGTTCTAATATTTTCATTTAAATGTTTAAATTGTAAGTTCTTGCCACCAGCATTTTCCATGTGAAATTACAATTACGTCTTCTCATCGGAAACGCTTTCAGTGTTCATTGACTTTGAGTGCATCCATGTTTGACAGTGGCGTTTAAACATGAAGGGAGGTAGTTTGAATACTCAACTACAAGCAGGGTCTGCTCAGGCTTCCATACAAACTATTTGCACGTTTTTGCCAAAAGGGATCAATTTTTGTACCCATTTAGTTCCTAAATGTTTCTAACCAATATTAGGTAACTAGATAGTTTCGGTATTAGGGCTGCTATTATTTGACAAAACCTGCAGTCTCAAGGTATAGGGAGTTTGTAATGTCGTTATTTTGATTTCATTTGTTCCATACATTTTAAATCAAATGATAAACTATTGGATGTGGTGTTTGAGCCACAAATGTGAATATGATGAATTGTAAATAACCCACAAAAAGTTTTTACCTCAAACGCACAGTTTGATATATTTGCTGTTCACCCATAAGTCATTTCTGTGTGCCTGTTCACAATTTCAAACAATATTCTGACGATTATTGCTGGTTGAGTCGCCATGACAAGGTCCACAGTTGGTTTACAACAAAGTGATGTGGGTGAATTTCGTTTCATTCGTTGATTATATTGTACAGTTACGCTTACTGTAAACTGAATGTTGATGGTAGAATCCATTAATGCCGTTCTATGTGACAAGCATGGCATTGTAGACTGTCTCGCACGTTGTGCAATATGACCTGTGTTACTCATCTTAAATCTGCATTTAACATCAAAGTACACAAGACAACTAAGTTCGATCTCTGAAAGTGCATTCCTCTTGATTTTTCCTGATCTGAATTGACCATCTATTTCTCACCTGCTGTCGACCATCATGTCACTATTTTCTGTAATTTTTATGCATACATCATATATTTATTTAGCCATTGTAAAATAGGAGATGTCAATGATACAATGGCATTGTTATGAAATATTTTCTGTCAAGTGCTGTTTTCTTGTCTCTTCACGATGATATGGTTCAGGTATGTAAACTTGGATTTGCCCATGCTTTCTGTCGAGAGAGCCAGCTCCCTCTGGAGACGGGGCAGCCCACTGACAGTTGTCTGCCCTTGACTGGTCTCTACTTTGCTGTCCTCAATAAACCTATTCATCTTACAGCATACAGTACTTGTTTTGTTATATTTCAGTGGATATATCTCCAGATGTCTGTACATTGCAACTGAACTGTTTGAGAAAATTTGATCAGGTTTTGAGTTAGCACGCATGTTTTGTTTTACCATCATATCTGTGCATGACACAAATTCTTTTCTTTTTTATAATTTGTTTATCTTTCTAGAGCATTTACACGGTTTTTTCATGATAATTTATTCACACAAATTCTGTTGATAAATACCTCATTTGGGGAACACAAGTTTGTTACAAAACGTAGCACTTACAACACTTTATCTTGTGTGATGAAAATCAAAAGGGTGCCTTTTTAAAGACTGCCCTCATGACAATCTGTGACCAGAAGATTTACACCTTATGTATTTTCATTTTATATGATTTATTATGTTGACGTGATTCTGTGATAGAGCTTATTGGATAAAGCAATGGAAATGAACTGGCCTTTTGCATGTTTAGGTTTAGTTTTGGCAGATTGATCTTTTTTTCTTATATCTATTACATACCATTTCATATAAAAAAAAAACGCTGTGCAGCAGCAAATAAGGAAATAAACCTATTTCCACTGCTTCATCGTATGTTTTTTCTTTATGGTTATACTAACAAGACTTTAAGACTTGGCTGTAATCATCTTGGAGGCCCATGCACTTATACAACCTTTTGGAAAACTGGGGTGCACTTAAAAGAATTTTGCGATTGTAGGCCAAAAGTCAATTGTTATTTTTGTTGAAAACATGTCACTTGATAATTTAGTTCTGTTTTATACATCAATATGATAAGTATGCGTCAAAAAGCACACACACACACACACACACACACACACACACACACACACTTTGGATGTGCACATGAAGGCTGTGCAGGGTTCAAGTATGTTCTATTTTCAGCTTATCCATCCCTTCTGCCGCTTGGTAAACATTGAAACAAGTTCAAACAATCTTGAACTTAACGGAGCAGCTCGTCACCATGACCTGTACCCATGTACACTTGGTCTATTGATGTAGGTCCTCACCCTTTAGATTGAAGGTTGAAAATGCCAAGTTGAACTTTATTATGCTTGTGTTTAAAGTGTAGTGATGTTGGGAATTTCAGACTCAATTACGAAGTCCTACAATCAGTTCTATGACTTCCAACCAACCTTTCTTACATTTTATTGATAATGATGAGCACTTTGGTGACGGTCTACTTTGGTTTTACTTGTGCCAGGATCCGCTAACCATTTAGAATCCCTGATTCTCCCTGATTATGATCCTTGGGTGTCAGCACCATATCCGTTTTCCTGGGTTTCACAAATGGAAAATAGCAATGACCTGCGTTATTTCAATTCTTACTCACACAGTGATAAGACAATGTTCAAGGCGGCCCAGAAAACGGGCGTGAGTCATACTGACCTCTGTGCTTTACAGAAGTTCCGCCCCATGGGGTTTCCTGGGTGCCATAGGTCCCCAGCAACCCTTATCTCTCGTAAGAGGCGAAGACCGCTTCCGTGGTCTAGTGGTAGAGCGACATACCAAAAGACGTTATAAAATGTTACTTGTTACCCGTATTGCGCTCGGTATTAAGGGGCTAAAACAAGGACTGGTAGGCTCGGAGTCGGTAAACTGTGTCTGAGGGGGGTATTCACTATGAAACCGGATATAGTCCGACTTGTACAAGCAGCACACACACACGTGCATTTACGTCGCTATGTTTGTGCAATAATCTCTGTCGCGACGTGAAACCCCATTTCACCTCGCCGTAAGAGGCGACTAAATGAATCTGGTGGTCCGACTCGGTGACTTGGTTGATTGCAGATCGTTGTTCATGTCAATCCTGGATTGTCTGGTCCAGACTCGATTATTTACAAGCCGCCAACACATAGCTGGAATGTTGCTGTGTGCACGTTAAACAACAAACAAAAAAACAGTCTATTCACACGTCTTTGTCTTACATTTTAAACACTAATTATTATGATCAGGTATAGCATGTTTAACAACGTGTCCCCCTGTCTGGAATCCCATGGTGGTATTAATAGGGTTAGTTTGATAGCCACATACAATTATCCACTGTGATCGCGATCGTTGTTTTACATGTAATCACTAAAGCTGTTTGTTCGGGTCTTGTTGAAGCGTCGTTCGACAGGACAATAGATAGTATTTGCCGTTACCGAGCGATAGCAAATACCCACTGTGGGTTCAAAACAAACAGGTAGCTTGACATGCTGTTCGGTATTTTTACACCTTACACATTTATCGGGGAAAGAGGTGAGGTGAAATGGGGTTTAACGTCGCGTCCAAGATTATTGCACTTATATAGCGACGTGCATGCACGTGTATGTATGTGTGATGCTGCTTGTACTAGTCCGGACTAATGCCGATTTATAGTGCTAGCTCACTGAGATACCATGCCGCAGTTTAACATGAATACCCCACTCAGACACAGTATACTGACTCCGAGCCGACCAGTCCTTGTTTTAACCCCTTAATGCCGAGCGCCAGACAGGGTAACAACAAGTACGTCTTTTAAGTATGACGCGGCCGGGGATCGAACCCCGGACCTTCCGCTCTCCGGGCGGACGCTCTACCGGAGGCGGTCTATCTGGGAAAGAAATCCCATTAATGGCACATTAACTGCTCATTGTGATGAATATGGACGCCGGGGCATGTATCATGCGTCATCAGTTGTTACGGTTCAGTGAAATATTAAACTGTTTCCACTCATTCGTTGCCAGGTCAGCCCTAGGTGTCAATGACTTATTTCTAAGATCCACACCGCTAGTGTTATTTTTGTATGTCCTGCGCCATGATGTATTTTACTAAAAGCCTAGGCAAGTCTAGATCAAACTACATTAAACTACGGTTATAACGACCTGAAAGGGCCACTAATTTTAGTTCGTTATAACCGTAGTTATAAGCATTTATACATCAGTTGGCCGGGGCCAAAAAATAAGTTATAAGCGTGTTCATTATGAACGTAGTTTACTGTATACCAAGTAAGTTTCCTTGATTCGATATGAACGGCAGAGGAAAGGTTCTTTTGGAAAAAAAGACAATTATTTAAAGAAATGTTTTCATAGACCAAGTGTTAGTCTAGGGAGTAGGTAGGTAAAGCACCAGGAAGCTGTAGCGCTGGCATACGCAGGCCTCCACGGTCAACGGTCGACCCGAGGTGTCAATGAATGATTTGACCCAGATCCACAAAGCGAGTTAACGCTAAGTCTGAAAATATGGGAGTGAGTAAAACATAAGGTCGGTTGTAGTGCCTGCATAACCAGGGCCCGTTTCACAAAGCTATCTGACGAACTAAATGTGGGACAGGTTGCACGAAGTCGGAAGTCTCCACAAATTAACGTAATGCTTTTGACTGCGTGGCACCAGTTATCTGTCTATATAGCCTGACCGATTGCACAAGATAATCTTAGAACGTCGACTGTCGTAGGGCCGTTTGCACAAAATATTCTCGGTGCTGCGACTGACCGGGTGCACAAAGTGACCTTAAAGCTATAACTGTAAAGCACCGATTGAATAAACTAATATTTGTGGTACAATTGTCGTGGGACGGTTTATACAAAATATTATCGCTACGATTGAAGTGGGACGGGCTGTACAAAGCAGTCATAATGTTTCTGTGCTCCTAACGGCATTCGATCCGAAGGCCCAGATTCCATTTCTCTATTGATCGGGTAGAATGTGTGGAACCAATTGCTGGCGTCTGCTGCCGTGATATAGCTGAATTATTGCTAAAAGAGGCATAAAACCCGACTCGCTTGATATAACACTCAAATGTTTACTAGGATAGAGTTAAATTAGTGATTCCAGAATAGGTGCATTTAGCACCTCATAGCAGTCACAAGAGTCGACCAAACTGGAGATGAGATTGCCAGGCTCTGGGAATTGGTGCTCATGCTTTCAGCCTCTGGTTTGCCTGGCATAGGCTCGATTAATAACGAGCCACCGTGAAATAGCTCGAATGTTAATTATACTGCGGCGTACAACGACATCAGTTCGCAGTCCGCGTGGCTGAATTATTGCCAAAGCGGCGTTGATTTTTCACTGTCTTGTGTAACGTGACTCTGGCTACCATATGTCTGACAAGGGAGCGGGAAGCAGGTTATCCCCCAATTTATTCCCTCATACTTCCTTACTTGTGTCTTGGCCTCAGATCACCATGGCAACGCGTGCGTACTGCTTTCTCTACCACCCTCTTGTGAATCTTCACACCGAGTAAACATTCCGGGGATTAAAAAAGCAACAACGTATTTTCAACATGGGTGCTAAGTGCAAGTCGTGACCGAGTTTAACTGTAATATACGTCATTAAGGATAGAGTTTTGAACTATTTCCCAGTGGGTGTTTGTTTTGTTTACACATCTGTACCTGTAAACAATGCTGTTAATCAGTGTTTACTAATGACTAGTTTTTTATATCAATTTTTAAATATAAATGTATTATTATTTGTTATCTTATCTGTGTGTTCGAATGTCAGATATTCCATGCGTACATATTCTTATGATAATATATTTTGACATGAAAGTCAGGTCAACCACAAATTCTAATACACAATCCGATGACACATCGCGTTTGTGGGGGCACGGCTGGTTCATTCGTATAAAGCGCCACAATTCGATGTGCAGAGTAGCGTCCCTTAGCCGTGCCTTGATCCGTTGAATTCAAATCCCAGATACGACCCGATAATGATTCTTCGTTTATCAACGACATACCCATGTTTTTAGGTTTCACAAAATTGGTGCGACAAACAGGAACTGGGGTTCTTTATTAAAAAAATAGTGTGTTCAAGAGACCTCTGCACGGTTACAAAATCTATACTGGGCATGCAGGATGTCCTGGTAAAAAATACATTGTTTAGTTCCTTCATCCAGAGCAACATTTCTGTATGCCTTGAAGTAGTGACCAAACGAAATAATTTTCTTCAACAAAAAGCCCCCCCCCCCCCCCCCCTAACGTGTACGATTTCCTTTCCTCGCACATTAAAACATCTTCCCGAGACAAGAGAGTTAACT